CTTTGAATATCGGCACATTTATAATTTTTGCTTGTTTGCCACTTTACTTTCTCATAATAATATACAACGTTTTATGTTCAAGTTTATGTAATTAAGAAACATAGTCTAATTACATTACACAGCATATATATAGATAATTGGAGTAATTTGAAGAAAATGTCGATTAGTATATTCCTTTCCAACGATATTAGATTCGAAAACTGTACAGATGAGAGGTCATGTGACTATTTAATGCTAGTCTAAACAATCACGTCCGGTAACATGTCGCTTGATAATTTTCAAGCAATCATCCCTCTTTCTAGCGATATAGTATAGTAGGAACAAGGGGTTCCCATGCACCCATAAGGTGTGAATAAGTTACATACATTTTTGTAATTCCTAGGGTGTCTATTTAATGAATTCATTTGTTAACATTGCCAACTAATGTCCCATAGTACTTTTATGGCGGCATTCAGTTACCATGGTTACGCATCTTTAGACATCTTACCTTGGTATCTTAAATCATTTGTAGCTCTGTCATTATTTGGTCTATAGAAATGATATTGGTACCAAATTAAACCTCGTTAAATTTCCAATAAATTTCTGATATTCAATTATGCAAATTATCTAATTTGCATAAATTATGACGTCATCAATCTATTTTTGGTTCAGAATTTCCAACTATAGCAACGAATCTATTAGAACTGAGGCCGTATGGCAAAATTTCTGAAAGGTTTTGTCCTTTATTCTATTAGTAGAAGGTATAAGCAACATAAAAGTGAAAACAGATTCAAAATTGAATCAGTATTACGAAAGTTATGTAACTTTCGAGGCAGCTATCGTGAATGTCATTATTTGACAATAATATACATTACATCTTACCTTGGAGTCTTGAATCAATGTAGCTTCGCCATTAGTTGGTCTAAAGAGATGATATTGGTATCTGATTAAACCTTACTAAATTTACTATATGGTTACAATATTAAGTTATGCAAATTAGCTAATTTGCATTAATTGTGACGTCATCAATCCATTTTTAGTTCAGAATATCCTAGTATAGCAATTTGCAACATATCTATTAGAACTGAGGCCGTATGACAGAATGTGTGCACAGTTTTGTCCCTTATTTGATGAGTGGAAGATATAAGCATTATTAAAATGACAATAAAGCTTCAAAATTGGATCAGAATTAACAAAATTATCCAGCTTTGGAGGCAGCTACTGTGAACGTCATTGTTTGACAATTATAAAAAGAATATTAAATTAACAAAAAAAGTAACAACCATAGTTGTTTCAATCTTATTGAGTAAAAATGTGCATGTATAGAACTGAACTAATAAGTACTATGTGGAAAGGTTACATGCATTTTGACTATCATTCACAGGGGTCAAAACGGTTATCTCGACCCTGTATATTAAAGATCCAATCTTATAATTTACCATGCACTTTCAATGATTCATATAAATGGTATACATATAGTCTGATTTTCATCATATTCTTCATATTCTTGATTCTTTAAGCATCTGAAGTATATAGCATGATTAGAAGTGAAGATGATTCATCATATGGTTTATGTAATATTTCTAACATTTCAGATGCTATGGTAACATCACTTGATAATGAGGTTTTTACATTTCACGTTCTTAATGAGTTAAAAGGAAGTTATTCTCCCTTTGCTTTAGAGATAAATAGTTGCATGAATTTGTTTAGAAAAATTATACTTAATTAATTTAACCCCCCCCCCCTGACAGTCCCCATATTTGAAGATTTTGGTGAAACTTGGCAAAATACATTAATTATTAGGTTCCAGAAGCCCCCAGAAGCTATATGATGGCCCCCAGTGGCCCCAAAAAGCTATACGGTGGCGCCCAGAAGCTATACAGGGGCCCCCAGAAGCTATACAAGGGCCCCCAGAAACTATACTATGGTCTCCAGAAGCTATATGGTGGCCCCCAGTGGCCCTCGGAAGCTATATGATGGCCTCCAGAAGCTAATTAGTGGCCCCCAGGAGCTATACAGTGGCTCCCAGAAGCTATACAGGGGACCCCAGTGGCCCCAAGAAGCTAAACGATGGGCCCCAGAAGCTATACAGGAGCCCAAAAAAGCTACATGATGGCCCCCAGAATCTATATGATGGCTCCCAGAAGATGTGAAGGGCACCCAGTAACCCCTAGAAGCTATACGGTGGCCCCCAGTGGTCCACATAGGCTATATGATGGCCCCCAGAAGCTAAATAGTGACCCTCAGGAGCTATATGGTGGTTCCCAGAAGCTACAAAATGGCCCCCAGAATCTATATGGTGGCCCCCAATGGCTCCCAGAAGCTATAAAGGGCCCCCAGTAGCCCCTAGAAGCTTTACGGTGGCCCCCAGTGGCCCCGAAAGCTATATGGTGGCCCCCAGAAGCTATACAGGGGCCCACAGTGGCTCCCAGAAGCTATACGATGGCCCCCAGAAGCTATGCAAGGGCCTGCAGAAACTGTACTGTAGCCCCCAGAAGCTATACAGGGGCCCCCAGTGGCTCCCAGAAGCTATACGATGGCCCCCAGAAGCTATGCAAGGGCCCCCAGAAACTATACGGATGCCCCCATAAGCTATACAATGGCCTCCAGAAGCTATACAGTGTCCCCCAATGGGCCACCATATAGCTTTGGGGGCCACTGTATAGCTTCTAGGGGCTACTGGGGGCCCTGTATAGCTTCTGGGAGCCATTAGGGGCCATCATATAGATTCTTGGGGCCATCGTGTAGCTTCTTGGGGCCACTGGGGTTCCCTGTATAGCTTCTGGGTGCCACCGTATAGCTCCTGGGGGCCACTAATTAGCTTCTGGGGGCCATCATATAGCTTCTGAGGGCCACTGGGGGCCACCATATAGCTTCTGGAGACCACAGTATAGTTTCTGTAGGCCCTTGTATAGCTTCTGGGGGCCATCATATAGCTTCTGGGGGCCACTTGGAGCCCCTGTATAGATTCTTGGGGCCACTGGGGGCCATCATATAGCTTCTGGGGGCTTCTGGAACATAAAAATTAATGTATTTTGCCAGTTTTCACCAAAATCTTCAAATATGGGGGCTGTCAGGAGGGGGTAATTCATGTGACTATTTTTCTCTAAAGCAAAGGGAGAATAACTTTCTTTTAACTCATTAAGAACGTGAAATGTAAAAACCTCATTATCAAGTGATGTTACCATAGCATCTGAAATGTTAGAAATATTACATAAACCATATGATGAATCATCTTCACTTCTAATCATGCTTTATACTTCAGATGCTTTAAGAATCATGAATATGAAGAATATGATGAAAATCAGACTATATGTATACCATTTATATGAATCATTGAAAGTGCATGGTAAATTATAAAATTGGATCTTTAATATACAGGGTCAAGATAACTGTTTTGACCCCTGTGAATGATAGTCAAAATACATGTAACCTTTCCACATACTTATTAGTTCAGTTCAATACATGCACATTTTTACTCAATAAGATTGAAACAACTATGGTTGTTACTTTTTTTGTTAATTTAATATTCTTTTTATAATTGTCAAACAATGACGTTCACAGTAGCTGCCTCCAAAGCTGGATAATTTTGTTAATTCTGATCCAATTTTGAAGCTTTGTTGTCTCTTTAATGTTTTGCATATATCTTCCACTCATCCAATAAGGGACAAAACTATGCACATATTCTGTCATAAGGCCTCAGTTCTAATAGATATGATGCTATACTAGGATATTCTGAACCAAAAATGGATTGATGACGTCACAATTAATGCAAATTAGCTAATTTGCATTACTGAATATTGTAACCATATAGTAAATTTAATAAGGTTTAATCAGATACCAATATCATCTCTATAGACCAAATAATGGCGAAGCTACATTGATTCAAGACTCCAAGGTAAGACGTAATGTATATTATTGTCAAATAATGACATTCACGATAGCTGCCTCGAAAGTTACATAACTTTCGTAATACTGATTCAATTTTGAATCTGTTTTCACTTTTATGTTGCTTATACCTTCTACTAATAGAAAAAAGGACAAAACCTTTCAGAAATTTTGCCATACGGCCTCAGTTCTAATAGATTCGTTGCTATAGTTGGAAATTCTGAACCAAAAATAGATTGATGACGTCATAATTTATGCAAATTAGATAATTTGCATAATTGAATATAAAAAATTTATGGGAAATTTAACGAGGTTTGATTTGGTACCAATATCATTTCTATAGACCAAATAATAACAGAGCTACAAATGATTTAAGATACCAAGGTAAGATGTCTAAAGATGCGTAACCATGGTAACTGAATGCCGCCATAAAAGTACTATGGGACATTAGTTGGCAATGTTAACAAATGAATTCATTAAATAGACACCCTAGGGATTACAAAAATGTATGTAACTTATTCACACCTTATGGGTGCATGGGAACCCCTTGTTCCTACTATACTAATAGAGGATAAGTCAACATATTTACATGAACTATACTCAATCACGTGATTTCCTCATCCAATTATGCAAGTCATGAACCCGAATTGTGGTTTGGCTCACATCGTACATGTAGGCAGTGAACCCGGGCAGTGAACACTGTATAGTCACCGTTCCACAGCTGGATGACTCTAACTGCAGTTAGCTTCATTCAAGATGGTTGCCATTTTTTTAGTTTTCGATAAACCTCCGTTTTCAGCTAAACTAAATTGAATCTGTATTCCAAATATTTCGCCATGCAAATTAATAAAGTTATGATGGTAAATAATCACAAATAAATGCTCAAACAACCGCGATATTTGAGAATTTTTAAGACAATGGCTTCCCTTAGAATGCCTCTGATTGAAGTTGATGATGACGTAATGATGACGTAGATCATCAACTTTAATTAGATTTATTCTAAGTGAAGTCGTTTTTTTTAATTCTCTAATATTGCGGGTGTTTAGGCATTCATTTGTGGCTGAATATAATCGTAGTTTTATTAATTTGCATGGCGAAACTTTTGGAATCAAGATTCATCTTAGTTTAGCTTAAATCGGAGGTTTATCGAAAACGAAGGAATCTCGGCAAGCATCTTGAATGAAGCTAGCTGCAGTAAAAGTCATCCACTTGATAGTGGGCTACCTAACGTTGATTTAGATGAAACTGAAAATATTTACAACGTCAATCTACGAGAGTTGGACGAAGAATCTTTGGAGTAGCGCATAGAACAAAGTTTGCAATTTACGTGATGAATGCCCGGCATAAACACTTTACTGCGTTTAAATCCAGGATTAATCATTTCTTCTACACTCGGATTGTGTCGCAATACATCTTGGTTGGCTGATTGCCTTGATAAAAATAGTCCGTCTAGATCGGGATGAGTTGTCAAGTTATTGTTTGCTCCAAGTGAGTCAATATATTTGTCATCGTCGCCATGCAGGCATTCTCTTTTGCCTTCTACTTTGTCGTTGTTATTGGGGTACTCAGAGGATGTCGAATTGAGCCCGACGATCGTATCTAAATCTAAATCATCGTAGGCATTGTGGAACTCGATTTCAATGTCGGAACTCTCTTCTCTGATTGGCCAGATACCATTTGACGTTCCATGATGACCGTCGCTGAAATCCATGCCAGGTTTCTTTGAATTCTCAGCCCGAATCGACCCTCCACCGTGTCCATAGCCACTGTCTATGCTCTTAGAATCGTTATCTAAATCGGATTCGGAAATATCGTCGGTGATCTCAAGGAGTGACGCCTTCTCGCGCATGCGTGACCGATAGGCAGCTACGACTACTTCACTTCCAGTTTGTAGAAATTTGGACAGCAATTTACGGTTGTAAAAAATCATATTCCTTGATTGGATATCCAGACTCTTTTGACAAACGTAGCAAATATAGCACTTCTTATCTTTGTTGTATGTTCTACATTTATTGCACATCATGTAGGTGCACATTTCACACTTGGTTTTCGGATTGAAAAATATAAAAAATCTGGAAAAGCACCATGTGCAATACTTTTGGTTAAAGTCAGGGTTCTTATTATTATGTTCACGACAAGTTTCCATCTTTTTCACCAACGCTTCATCGTCTTTTCGCACCACACAATCATGTTTGTCTCGAAGCTCAAAGTCTCGTTGGACAACGTTCAGAATCCAGCCACATTCCATATCTGATAAGTCCTCTAACTCCATATTCGATATTCATTCACCACTTGCCAATTTTTTAGAGGATTTCGTGTCGTTTTCGTTCTTTCAAAAACAAAACTCCCAGCGTATCAATCTAAAGGATTATATCCTACGCACCATGATTTGATATCGGTTTTTTAAGTTCAATGCCAGCGAGGCGTAGTCTATACGTAAAAAGTCTTCCTGTTGATCGACACAGTTGTACACAGAAGGTTAATTTGTGGCCTGAAAACGCAATAAGAAGTATTTGAATATTAGTAAATAAGTCGATTAGTTCGAAAACGAATTCCTTTGGTTTATATACAGAAAATCATTGAATATTAAGTCGATTACTTTCAGAACCTTTGTTGTTCCTTTAAATGTTTGTGAAGGTGATAACGTAATAACGTAATAATATGTATATTTGTATTGCACACTAGTGTATGGTATATTTATTTCGAAGTTCAACACAAATGTTAAATTGATTAACCTCGTTGAATTTTCATTGTATGATATTAAATGTTATATTGAAATAAAAATGATTAATAAAAAAGATAACGTAACCGCCTATGGTATTGATATTTTGACTTGTTTAAGAATATAGCTAGATATTTTTGCCACCCCCTTGCTTTCATTTGTTCATTTATTAAATAGCAACCCGTAAAGCATTAAGCTATCGTCCGATAAGCGTTTATTATGATAACGGGACACAAAGAGGGAAACGGATGGATATCATATGAAAAAATATCCCCTGATTCCAAAACGTTCTCTATATCTTATGTATTTAGGCCTAATTAGATCATAGTGTAAAAATGACCAGTAATACATATATGTTTGCCTCCTTACCAATTACCTCCCTACCACCAGGTGTATACTATTCGCTAAATTTCTTTAATAGTTTATACACGGCAGGGCTCATAAAGGCCATAAGGCACGTCCGTATGTTCAGACATTTTGAATGGCTTCCTAATTTAGGCCCCGTGCACAAAGAGTGCATAAACATACCTAGATTATTAGTTGAGGGATAATAAATATTCTATTTAATCAAAAAAGGAATACATTAAGTGACCTACATTTTTGTACTTTTAAACATAGGTCACGGAATTTTCCAAATCTACATTTTAGAGAATTATTTAACCTGTACTAATAGAAATCAAGGTATATTTGTGTACGTTTGTACAAAACTGAAAGACTTAGACCAAGTGTAGAATGAGGCATGTGTTCCAGAAAATAACATGGGACTTCGATCAGAAATCCATAAAATTCTGAACATTCCGAACTACCGTAAGACAGCCTAGACAGGGACACTTATCCAGAGAGGATTCCATACCGATGTTACAAATTATTTATACTATATCTGCTGTATTCAACTCTATTAAAAATAACAAAAAATTTAGCTAGGAAATATCTTTACTTACTGTATCTCTTAATGTATATCGTAATGTCAGCAAGGTTTTTCAAGGCCGGGCTATTTTATTCGTTTTCAATGGAATTCCACACAGTCCCTTGGCTGTAAATAAACTGTATGAATGAATCCGATTCAAAAGCTAAATATATATATTTTTACATTTAACGCATGCCTACATTGTCCATTAAACAGGTTAATCGCTGTGTGTCCCTAGGTGAATTGTCTACTATGTGTAATACAATATGCGATCCGATGCACATAATACATTTGTTAAGTGAAGTCGCCAAGAGTACCAAATGAAGTGAAACACTTTATTAAAACCGTATGTTATAATTGTGTAACTTTAAACTTGTACATGTTTAAAGTATGTTTACTGGTTTACTACTTATATGTAGGTTAGTTTTTGTCCTAGTATGAACTCGTGTAGTTATATTGCCGTCGATTGCCTTTTCAAAAGTTTCATATTTTTTATATCTTATGAAATAAAGAAAAGCCACATAAATCAAAAACTCGAAACAAATTGTAGGTCAATATTTGAAAATGAAAAACACATAAAGAAATTTGAATCAATGTTGAACTTAAACTAATAAAAAATGTGTTTGAATTTATTAAACGCTGTTTTTATGCCCTTACATCCGGCTAACGTACTTCACTTATTTAAGTCTTACATGCGGACCTCACATGAAATAGAAACTCAAGTGGTTTCTGTCATGATTTTATATTTGTATTGTATTGGTATTTGTATTGTGTTGTATTTATTGTATGTAATGTATTGCTATATATTGTATTGTATTGTTATATATTGTATTGTATTGTATTGTATTGTATAGTAGTACATTGTATTGTGAAGTATCTTATTGCATCCTCATTACATATTTCATCATTAGGGAGTTTCAGCTTGCAATGTTTTTCACAACCTAAACGTGAATTGAAAATATTTAAGCGATGCATTTGTATGGGCGATTGGTAATACGTATAGGTTGGCGTTTCGATTTTATATGCAAACTTAAACTCCCTATCATTTTATAATATCTGTATTTATCCGTGTATCTGTTACAGAGCTATCGTAATACATTTTATAAGATCTTCCGTAAAATCTAGAAAGTGAATATTGAACAATTTTAAAATTGGAAAACACGGAGTTTTTAATTTGAAACTTTCTGATGACTAGGAAAGGAATTTTTCGATCGTTGATATGCTCAAAGGAGGAGGCCCTGAACGTATTGATTATTAAGTTATTTATTTTGTGAATAAGAAGCATTTAGGATGTTAATTACAACAAGTATCATTTTAACTGCGTTCCTGACCCCAGCAACATGATGCGTTCCGTTGCTACTTATTAGAGACCCCATTATGCATAAGCCAGCTGGGAGAGGGTATCAACTCTGGGTTGCGATCTGCTACGACAGCTGTGGCCTCTCTGGTTTTCTGTCTAAATGTCGTGTATCAATCGATTAACTTCACTACCTTTTAAATACCCTATATCATTTAAATATTTTGGTAATGGATAATTAAGTTATGTTGTTAATGGTTCAGTTATACACTTAGAACGAGTTGGAAGACTCTTATGAAAGGTTTATAGTTAAGTTAAGGTGAAACTGTATTTCACTATATGAAAATTAGGCGATGATTTCATCAAATGGCCACATTTTTTCCGAAGATGGATTTTTCGTTTAAAGCTTCCAAATTAATGTGCGATCCTCAAAATCCGATATTCTGAGTTAAGATCAGAAAGGCGATCCAAGGGTCAAGTGACAACATTACTATCCAGGTAAAATGGTTCATTCTAGAAGTATGTAATACACACTCTTAAGTGGGACTTTATATCCATATCCCATGACTAAACTGGCGCTCCTGTTGGCGTTCCAGGTTGAGGGTAAAAGTCACACACCAAAGGTAAAAGTGACACATCTTAGATAAGATATATCAGAGGAATATTAAAAATGTTTCATTCGATTCATTCATCTTTGAAAATGAATAGTACACCATTTTATTTTTGGGGTAGTTTTATAACATTTTGAGACTTGAGCACACGTGGTTTACTTTACCCATTAGTTAGTTTATTATGTCACACTCAAACATTTGCAAACCTGACCCGCCTTTGGTATATTTTGTTTCATTGGATCTCTCCATCATGAAGAAAAACGATACGGTATACGTTATAACGATTACTCAAAATCCATTAGCTCGTAAGCTCAGAATACAAGACCTTCTCAATTTTTAATTTGTATTTTAACATGATCCATTTAAAGTCTATTTATGAAATATCCCTGTGATATGATACAGGTTGTAATTGATATAAACAAGAGCCATAGATTTTAATATAAATATGAACAGTATATATATACATATGAAGACCATTTGATCGATATGCTCCTCTCCAAAGCCAACCTGACGGTTGGTAGAACAACAATGGGCGGTGAATAACTACGACAGTTGACCGGGAAATCGACAGGTAAGCTGAATAGCTATTAGAGGGTGGAACAGTCAGTTGTACATAATGTAACGTGTTCAAGTTTTTGAAAAAACGTATTCCTGCTTTGTTAGATACAGTTCTGCAACCTGCAGCGAGATAATGTCGCACTACCCTACCACGAAACCACATTTAAAAATGATACAGGGTACAGTTAAGTTGCAAATGGAACGGGTATTCTCTATCTTTGTCCATTTGGGTTTTTCTGGTAATAATACGTTGCAAACTGCTCGATAAAATCTATACAATATATAGTAGAACACTTGGAATATATTTAAAATCTAGTATACCTTCAGAACTATGGAAATAAACACACGTCCTCCATTTGCAACTTCGCTGTAGCCTGTATTTCTTTTAAAGGAATACGGGATACAGTATGGGAGTATAGTAGTTTGAATGTGTTTCCTTGACTTTCATCACGAAAAATATGTAGAACCTGGGCCAGATTCGCCATTTTTATATGCTCAGTGATTGAACTTCGACTTGATTTTGATCGAACTTCGACTTGATTTTGATTGAACTTCGACTTGATTTTGATTGAACTTCGACTTGATTTCCTTCATCCCGATTGGAGAGCCCTGACGAACATTTTGTGATTGATCAACTAAAATAATTGAGTGAACACAGGTGCAATATAATATTGCAGAGCCTTTTTGGCAAACGGAGAAAAAAGGCTTAACCCGGGAACCTCACAACCGCTTCGGTAATATAAATAGTTTCATATAAATGTAACGTACCATTTTTAGAAATTCGGTTTTTATGAACAATAAACCAATTCATTTACCAAGGTTAAGAAACACCATTTTTGACCATGTAGCTATAACAGTTTGGGACAATTTGAATGATTAAATTCAATGAATTATAATGAAGAACGTAATAAGAGGACTCAAAGGAGTGACGCCGCACAAATATCTACGCGATACGTTGCGGATTTTAGATACGTCTGGTAAAACGTGTGAAACCTTCTCTATCAATTTAAAAAGGGGACACTTTTTCATAAATATCTGGTGTAATCAAAATACTAGATGTGGTATGGCAAATAGTTTTAGACAGTCATACATCTGACCCTGACTTTATTTTCACTAAATACATGCTTTTTTAAATCAATGTATTTTTTGGAGTAAAGCCAATCAGTATAATAAAGGATATTCGATGACTTGAACAAGTATTTAAATAAGAACCCTATTTTCTTAATTCTAAAATGCCAAACATGGCGCTTTATGTCAGTACTATCAAAAATGGAAACTTCTTTGAAATATGATAAAATTGAACACATTATGTCCCATGTTATATTCCCATGGGGAATCTCATTTCATTCATTGTTTTAGTCCAATTTTGGTCACTAATAGTACAATAACGTTATTTCTAAGGGCAATATAGTGAAACATTGGACCGAGGGCCGAAGGCCCAAGGTCCAATATTTCACTATATTGCTCGCAGAAATGATGTTATTACTATTATTACCACCAACAAAGTTAACGACCAGGGCTGAAATAGCAAGAAAATCTTACGCACTGAACGATATCTAATTCCCCGGGGAAAAATTGCCGGTCCAGAATATATTCTAGACCGGTCCATATGGACCACCAATATGACGTCACGCATTTCTCAGGTCGATATAGTAAAATGAATGCCTTCTAAAGTAGCACTTAAACCCCTAGAACTGGCCCGGCAACAAACAATAGTACAATAACGTCATTTCTAAGGGCAATATAGTGAAATATTGGACCGAGGGTTCTTATTTAAATACTTGTTCAAGTCATCGAATATCCTTTATTATACTGATTGGCAGAAATGACGTTATTAGTATTATTACCACCGTTAACGACCAGGGCTGAAATAGCAAGAAAATCTTACGCACTGAACGATATCTAATTCCCCGGGGAAAAATTGCCTGTCCAGAATATATTCTAGACCGGTCCATATGGACCACCACTATGACATCACACATTTCTCAGGTCGATATAGTAAAATGAATGCCTTCTAAACTAGCACTAAAACCCCTAGAACTGGCCCGGCAACAAACAATATATGCGTTTCCCTTTAAGTATCTAAAATGTTTACAAAGTTAATTTACCTCTAAATGTACATCAAAAACGTATACCCACCTCAGCGAGTTCAGGCTAAACTTAGCGAGCCCAATCTGAAAATGTTTCAATACGTTGTTAATTTTGTTACAGTTTTTTCATATTATCGTTTTACAGAGAGCCTTAGTTTGTTTCCTTATGCATATTTTGATAAGTAGTTTCTGGTTAAAATGTTAATTGAACACATGTGTTTGTATATTGCAGATGTATAATTTATGAGAGTACATTGAGTCATGGACAGACAAAACATGTCAACCAACGTAACTGGGCCGAATGACGTCACTTCCGATCCTTTCGCAAACTATTCGGAGAGATCAGCGACATTTGCCAGCATTTTTGACACCGTTAGCTCTGATAGAATCAATGCAACTCTCGGGTTCTCTGATAGCATCAACGTTACTACTGCCGTGGCTACATTTGTGGATCCATACGCTACAACGCCACTTGAGAGAGGCATTGAAGCGGCACTCCTTGGTGTGTTGGGTGTATTTGGAACAATCCTAAACTGTTTTCTGATTGCAAATGTAGTTTACAATAAAGATCTAAGGAAACCGTTGCATTACATGTTTTGCATGATTGCATTCTTAGATATAACTATTGTCATCCCTTGTCCTTTTATGGCGTACGGTACCTGGCGAGATCGTTGGGACTTACCTCATTGGATGTGTATCTCCATAGCGGCCGTGCAAGGCTGGGGTTTGTCCACCACAATCGTTTGTCATTGTTTGATCGGGCTCAATTGTGCATTGAAATGTGAATTTCGGTCTGATCTTGCGAATAAGTTAAGCAGTGTTAAGTCAATGATGATACTTTTCTTTATAGCATGGGTGGCGGTGTTCCTATTGATTCCATTTCCTTTGCTCCCCTTTGTAGACTACGTTCGTGTTGATTATGCCCCGGTGTTTGGCATGTGCGTCAGCGCTTGGGACGCACCAGATTTGAAGAACATTGAGATCTATCTGTATTGGGCGTTTGGCACCACTGTCGTTGTTCCTTATTTCTTTTCCATTGTGTTTTATGGCAAGGTTCTTTGGGTCATCAGACGTCGTCTTGATACGTTCGATAATGAAAATATCAAACGTCAGTTTGTTAATGCGTGCAAGCGTATGGGTACGTTATTTAGTGTGTTTACCCTTTGTTTCCTGCCGCATACGATTTATACTCTCGCGGATCCTTACATCCTCTATATTTCCACTTGGGGCATCAGGGGACTGTACATCTTCTTCATGTTTCACACTTGCTTCAATCCTATCATCTGCCTCTTCACAATGTCCGATATCAACGAGGGGTTGTGGCGAATGGTTAAATGTTTACCACGTGACCCCTCAAAACCACAACGACATTCGAACTTGAAGAAACGACAATCCGGAATAAAGAAAAACCCTCCAATCAATCTTGGTCCAGAGAAAAACGTTGTGAATGACATTAATAATACACCAGTTAATGTAGCTAATGCTGCATCAATTGCGACAATCAGTTCACTTGTTCCCAGTGAAAGCGTAGAAAGAGTGCACGCATAATGAACACCTTTCAAGTGACAGTGATCAAACATTCTATCAACCCCTAAAGGTATAACTATTAAATCGTTTTTCGCTACCATAACACGATCAATTCTACATTGCACTGCAAACGTTACATGATGAAAATCATTGATATGTTTGCAACGTCTAGGAGAAAATGTTAAGATGACAGAGGAAGATTGACTTGGTGTAGGCCAAGGTCAGATGACGTCATCATAACGGAACTACAACACAATGTATAACCATCTCGGCAACAGGGTCATGTGTCACGTGTAAGGTGGAAGTAATCAGTCTGAATCGTTGAACAAATCTATCTTATCCAACAATTTTTCCTCCATGATATGTCCATGTATCATTCACAATTTAGGGAGAACGATTTTCATGAACATGTTCCCTCGGCAAGAACACATTCCAACACAAACACTGATAACTACGAATCGTCTACCACGTCCATTATAATACAACATCAAACATTCCATGAAAACATTATGCGATATGTGACAATGTATAGTGATATACGAAATCGACAGTCATATCATGACGACCAAATAATCGATATTTAGTTTGAGACTGTTGACTTTTATCGTTGACACTAAATTACATTATAGTATCGTATAATTTGATATTTCATTGTTTTGAGGACTTAATGTTGGAAAATATTAAAATGCCACTGGAAGAGTATTGTCGGTGACACTCCACGACCATCAATATATGAAGGTGTTATGCATTTTACTATATAGTAATACTTATTCAGAGTAAATGGATGTAGTGAGTGTTACTTGTACAGGGTGTCAGATAAACATGTTCTCCCCTTTAATGTCAAAATATGAACTTTTTGCATGAACGTGCACCCAATTGAACCAGTTATCTGAAACCTCTAAAGGAGTTGCTCCATCAAGCCTAGTTTTAATGTGCTGAAGAACAATTTATGCAAGCATAAAGAGAAACAGTTATGTAACATTATGTGAATGTTAAAGCTAAGCAGAGGAGAACATATTTATTTGACACCCTGTGTATTAACTTATTCGTAATGTAGGCTGTATTGGTTAATAATTAAGGAATAAATCGAAGTATGTGCCTGTTGTCTATGTCATAGAACGCCGATGGTTTCATTGGATGATGTCCTATTTCTTTACATTCAGATATTTGACGTAGTATCCAGAAGTACTCGAAGGCAATTGCTACTTCTGTAGGGTACGTTTGCAAATCGTCTCTCTCCATTTATCTCAACCTAGGTAGGGAAAATGTTTCAACTGGGGATCATTGAATACTGTCATCCACGCATTTTGAATTGCTGTGCTTTATGCATGTTATTATTTGATATGGTTGAAAAAAACCGAAGATAAGAGAGATTTCGTAACTCACTTTATAAGCATGTGTATTATTCCTGTATATTGTATTACTTATTCTTATATAAAGCGTTTGATTACGTCATCATTTATTGCATAGCTCTATACGTCCATAAGTGTAATGTTCTTATACATCGTCGTCTACATATGTAAGAACATCACACTAGAGTTGCGCAATAAATGATAATGCAATCAAACGCTCCATAAGTTATACGGGAATTATAAACATAAGTGAGATGCGAAATCTCTTGTATACATAAAACTTTATTGTACTCGTAGATTAATATATTTATATAACCCACCGTATATTTTTGAATAGAATTGTATGGTCAACAAAATAAGATTCTAAGATGTCCATCTACTTCTAAAGGTACAAATGGCGACTATTGCATAAGCAATATATGCGTACAGTGTAATTGTGCTAGGTCATCGAGATCCACTGAGGTGGGTAATGGTCTTCTTTTTTATATGTATACCAAATCTGACTTTTTGGTCTAGGATGGTTGCCATAATAGATCACTTCCCCTCCAGTTAAGTATGCCCCCCACCATCCAAAGGTAGTCGAACCAAATATGGAGTGATGGCAAGAGGAAAGGATACCCATGTCGACCCAAGCGTTGTTACGGTTAGGGCACATTACTCCATCTTGCGGAAGGACATTCATTCGTGCCCACATCAGATCATCGCTGCATACAAAAAACTTGACCTTTTTATACCGTTTTCGAAAATAGTCCATGGCTTTCTCAAAGAAGTGAACTGAAGGCGATTCATAGCCTATCTTTTTATAATATTCATTGAGTATTTCACCTCTGCGGACTAGGACACTGACGAGTGTCAACCCGGTTTCATTATTTAAAGCATTCCTCATATAGGCATCAACCTTAGCTTGAATGTGAGCACGAAGCTTGAATTCATTCCTTATTTCCTTTTCAACGTTTATAAAGTATTTGAATGATTGCAAGTACCCTCTCAATACCGTGTGCTTATGTGGTAAAGCCATTAGTGATGCTTTGAATTGTTTATCCTTGTCGTCGCTCTTTTTGTTTTTTAATGCAACCTTGAGGGGGAAATCAAGATCACCTACACTATATCCTGTAACTTTACAATTTTTACTCAGATCAAATTTGCCATCAACTGCAAAAGTCATATTATTCGCTTTGGCTATGCCGAAACCAGAAGCGTACTCGAACATGGCATTACCCAAACGTCCTTTCGGACGCCATAAAACTAAAACGGGAGTTTTTGGAATTATTCGATGCTTTAGATTACTTTCGTTGTGTTGTTTTAAAATTTCTTTTACATTTTTGTCCGAGACGTTAGATGGATAAGATGTAGACGTCTCTGTAAAGTTCTTTATATGTGTTTTTGTTACACTGTGAGCTGAAATCTGATTTGACGTTGTGGATTCAATATTCAAGCCATTTGTGCTATTCTTAATAGCTACGTCTTTACCAGAGTGAAACTGGTGGGGACCTGATGAATCAACCAAACGCTCCTCTTCATAGTTTGCGTCCTGTTGAACTTTTTGAAATAATATCATCTTACGTCTCGTATCTTTAACAGTATTTACAATATATATCTCTATAAAGATAAAAACAGCTATTGATATACAGAGACAAATGAATAGAATAGATCGGTTAGGTTTAATCCCGTATTTCCATTTTCCATCGGATACTTCCATTGTATACGGTATTCCGTTAACCTAACACTATCAACACTTGTACAATTATTGATCTAATAAAACATATTCAACCAACGGGTGTTATGAGCTGTCATCGTTTATAATGGCTGCTGTTATTTCATCAAAATGTCATTTTGTTGATTTGAACATTAAGATTAAATTGTCAATTATAGATATATTGCTACAACATATGTAAACGATATAATGGTGTTAAGCAGCTTGAACAAAAATCATTTGCACAATTCAAGGTTAATCGAGCCACTAATTAATAGCAATCGTGTAGAATGTTTTGATTTTCTAATATTAAGTTTCCAATGTGAAAATACAAATCACTCTAAAATTGAATATAATGCGAACACGATGCCTTGTGTTTCAATTCAATTGGCGAATACGACGCCTTATGTTAAATCCAATTGCCTATTACATATTAAATCGGTGACAAACCGAGCTTTAAGAGACAATTTTCATGTTAATAATTCCTTAATGCCAAAGTCAAAACGTATTAGAAACATGATCAGTTGAACCCTGACTAAACATTGTAATATTAATCGTGTAAACACCATAAACAGTGCCATGTTTCTACCAGCAATCCTCCATGCATATGGAGTGTTTGTTCTGAGTGAGTCGCCTTCCCATACATTCTCCTCAATGCAATATAATATGGGTAGAGACATCCTTCAACTTAAGTTTAACCCAGCAAGGGAAGCACTGTTGGGTGATTTTGGTTGGAGACTCATTTTAAGCTTGATTGATAAACGAAAGATTGATTTTTATGCCTATTTAAAGTGTGATATTTATCAATAGATATGTAATATAATTAAGATGTATAACAAGGCTTTTTGAACTATAATCCCCAAATCCGAAGAAATCTGAAGTTGAAAATGCCGTCCAATTCCAGTGACGTCAATGATTTCCCAGAAATTGCTCAGACGCCATCGAAGATCGAAAAAATACAAATAAATGTTACTTTTAATCTCCGATAATCTTTCTGATTATTGAATAGATGTATGCTTGAGGGCTGATGGAAGATCAGAAGCTGAGAAAGAGTAATCGACTTGTTCGGCGGGCAAATGAAAAGTTGTACCTTCCAAAGTGATGCACCATGGGAGATATTTATGTAAATTACCACCTGAACTCTTATCGCGAATAGGGGTATTGAACATATAGACTGTTTGAATGTCCAGCCGACCACTTTATTAGACATGAACTCATGCTTGACATATTCTCATATTCCTGCAATTGTCACTGCAGGAAAAAACCAAATGGGTACTGGGTTCATGGAACAGTCTGAGAGATAGTTGGGGTCACGACCTAGCCAGAAAATGTGATGCGTGTTCAAAGTGATTTCTAGTCAAATTATATACTGCCATTAAAGTATACTGTAGTGTACAATGTCTAAAACTTGGTTCAGAGCAGATTTTAGCCCCTTTGTGCAAAAGGAATGATAGTTCGATGGTCCGTGGTCACATATAAATAAATGGCATATCATTGGGAAAAGGAGGCACGAGGCTTTATGGTTAACTAAAAGGAATCAATGTAGTATCATTGGTTTTGTGATTTTGCAATGATTTTGTTTTATTGAGACACAGTGTATAGGTGGTTTTCTATGATACATATTTTAAACAAGCTCGTTTCGTAAGATATTTGGAGTCAGAAAGTATTATACTGTGCATAGAAATCAAAATTGGCAGCATAGTATTCATTAGACATGAGTATAATGATTGCCGTTGACACCGACTTGACATTCCAATCTCTCGTTCTGAACACGAAACTGAAGCTAATTATTGATCTCATTGACTTTCTTAATTTCTATGAATGCTGACCTAAGCTACTCATTGGGGATTGTATTGGTGGCATTCGGACTCGAGATAATTGTGTATAGTGTATCGTAAGTCGACACCGGCCGACGATCTTATAAAATTTTGTTTAATATTATGTATTTTATATTGTCTATATTTGTAAGATCAGAGACACTTCAATAAACTATTTTAAACTAAAAAAACAACAAAAAACTAGTATATTTAGTTCAGCTTTAGTGTACCGCATGTAGTAGCAACCAATCATATTTTGTGACACACTGGTTTTGGATTGCTAGCCAAGTGTACATTCTTTAAAAAGAATAGAAAAAGAATGCACCTTTCTTTGTTACAAGTGTATATTCTTTAAAATAAAATACAGCTCATAAAATTGTGTAAGTACCTAAGTTGGGTTGAATAGTGTATAAAGGGTGAATTAAGGAGGTGGACAACAAGTCTTTAAAAGTGTATCCAGGACGGATCTGCGAGCAAAAGGAATTACAGTTATGTAGCATCATATGTTTACAAATCATCGGACTTCATTTTTATTTTCTCGAAAATTAAACGACAACTCTTTATATTTTTGAAAGAATTTCATTTCGAAGTGTCCTTTGCTATTTGTGTAAACATGCATGAATGACGTCATATTTTTCACTCACATGGTGAGCCTAAGAGATCGACTAGGCGCCCGTCCGTTCGTTTGTCCGTCCGTCAATAAAGACAATAAAACTGCTTTTCGCATTCAGTCGTATCTTCATCATTTTATATATACATATCAATAATGCATATTTGACCTGTCATCGCCATTTTTAAAATTCGCCTGGTTTCCGATAAATTGATGTAGAAATGTCAAATTTAATCAGTCACTTGACTTTGTTAAGTAGAACTTCCAAATGAATGTAAGTAGTTGCCGTGTATGCAAGATATGTCATCACATTTTTTAAAGCACTTGGAATAAAAGTGTTCTGTGTTTACTCTATAACATTTGACAAAAAAAACAAAACAAATATGTTTGAGCTCACATTGTCTTCAGATTTATTCATGTACTAGTATATTGTTCAACCGCAATCAATACAGAGCTTTCGATAAAAGTTTTCAGCCAAACTTAAACTGCAACTTTAACTTTCAAATGACGTAAACTCCATTAGGGGGAACGGTTTCTTAAAGAAACCAGGAAAGTACATTTTTTCATTAGAAAAATGTTGCTCGTTTGATTTATACAAGTACACGTTTGCGTATACGTATTCCAAATTACTTATATCAAAATCTCTCCATCGACTTCCATCGTGTCCAAAAACAACTGCAGTAGTGCAATTTTGTTGATCAGGTGAATTGATACAAGTAAGTTAAAGCATGCTATAAACGATGACATCATGTTCAATTTTGTTGATCAGGTGAATTGATACAAGTAAGTTAAAGCATGCTATAAACGATGACATCATGTTCAATTTTGTTGATCAGGTGACCTGATACAAGTAAGTTAAAGCATGCTATAAACGATGACATCATGTTCAATTTTGTTGATCAGGTGACCTGATACAAGTAAGTTAAAGCATGCTATAAACGATGACATCATGTTCAATTTTGTTGATCAGGTGACCTGATACAAGTAAGTTAAAGCATGCTATAAACGATGACAACATGTCCAATTTTGTTGATCAGGTGACCTGATACAAGTAAGTTAAAGCATGCTATAAACGATGACAACATGTACAATTTTGTTGATCAGGTGACCTTATACAAGTAGGTTAAAGCATGCTATATACAGGGTGGTAAAAAACGGAAACCTGCATTTTCCACATATCTTTGTCATTTTAAGAAATTACTCATTGATATTTCACACGTTTGTAAACCATTCAATTCCTTACCACCCTACCCTAGTTCATGACCATCAGACTGATAGTCACAATTTTACAGCACTTTGAACAACATGCTTCAGGGTTGGCCATCATCGCTCTGGAGGCAAACCTGCACAGTTGTCAATGATCCAAATGCATTCCTCAGCAGGTATGGCCTGAATGATACAGATGATCTCACTTTTGAGGCCTGCAAGTGTCCTGGGGTCATTATTATACACCCTATCTCTGCCATATCCCCATAGGTTGGGACATTTTGGACGACATGTGCAGGTTGGTCTTCGGCGCAATAATGGCCACCGGAATTGTTCTTTAAAGTGCTGTAACACGGTGACTATCAATCAGATGGTCATAAAATATGGTAGGCTGGTAGGAAATTGAGTGATGTACAAAAGTGCAAAGTTAATTCTTAAAATAATAAAGATATTAGGTAAAATGGTGTAAGGGTTTCCAGTTTTTTTACCACCCTGTATGATGACAGCATGTCCAAATTTGTTGATCAGGTGACCTGATCCAAGTAAGTTAAAGCATGCTATGAATGATGACAACATGTCCAATCCTGAATTTCAAAATGCGCTTCGCCACGTGATGTACACGTTTGAAATGATATGTCGCATGAAATATAGAAACAACCAAATTAGACAACTAGAGACAACCACAACGTGTTTGTACGTAAAACATTTACTAAAAAGTGCAACAGCTAATAAAAACTTTTTTCCAAAGCTCCATTTCTTAAACAGATTAGAGTTGGAGTCGTTCTTTGATAAACACGTTCATTTGAGACCCTCTTCTCATTCACTTGCATGTATATTTTATCTCATTGTCAACGGCTAATAAGCAAATTTACCGGAATGTATTTCAACTGTTTCATTTTAAAATATTATTAGTACGTAAGTTTAAATCGATGCTAAACAATATGTTTGAGAAGAAATATTCAAAATATGTCCAGCCCTTTATCTCCTGTAATGTTGAATATGAGCCCTAAATATCACCTAATAACAATATTACAACCGTGCAGAGGAGATTTCCAAAATCTAAGCGATGCCACTGTCGCATTTGATGACAAAGTTTATAAACAAGAACCGTTTGCAATTAAAATTGATCGCAGAATGTGCGTTGTTGTTTTTTAAATAATATCATAAAGTTTCGATACTGTAACTTAGATACCGTAATTTAGAATTGATAATGTACAACTGAGATGCCATTTTCATGATTTCAAATTTTGCTTTGCGAATACGCGACTTAAAATAAACATGCGCTCGTGATCATTCCCGTGATCATATCCTGCAAATTGATTGGATAGGGTATCGACGGATGCGCATGCGCATAATTCCTGATTAACAACAATAACAGAGTGGCACAAAATGGCAAATAATTACGGGAGCTACTCACTTCTGGTAACCGTTTTTTAAAATCACGCTCGCCAACCTAACTAGATTGGTGGCAAAAGCTAATTCCGAGTATACCTTCATCACATTCATTACACTTTCCGAATAAATTGAAATACAAGTTTCTGTAGAAGTCGAAGTACAGATGAATGAGACATGTACATTGACTAAAACTCTAAGTAGTCAATAAAACACAATTTACATGTATGTGTTTAATGTATCTCCTGTGACATCATTTCCGGAACTGGGGTTACTAGTCTCTGCCTTTGGTGACACAAACATTTCTTCGTTTCTTTTCTTTTGGGCCTCTCTTATCGGTCTAGATTTTCTCCTTGGTTGTTGGGAATGGGTTGGCATAGGTCTTCTCAAACACAAACGTAGCAGACCCTCGTGTATATCATCCATTTTGAATAAGCAGATGAAAGGATTGATGCATGTGTGACACATAAAGAAAATGAAAAGCCCACGGATGCCCCAAGTTGGGATATAAAGTATGAAAGGATCGGCCAACGTATAACATGTATGGGGAAGGAAACAAAATGTAAATACACTGAATAAAGTCCCCATCCGTTTGCATGCTTTAACGAATTGGCGCCTGATAGTAGCAGTATCAAAAGTATCAAGACGTCTTCTGATAACCCACAGAACCATGCTATAAAAAACAATTGCGAAGAAATATGGCAGAACCACAGTACTTGCGAATGCCCAATATATGAATAACTCTATATTTTTCATATTTGGAGCGATCCAAGCGCTGACACACATGCCGAACACCGGGGCATAATCGACACGGACGTAGTTAACCACGGGGATGTTGGGTAAAGTAATGACTAAGAAAACTATAGCCCAAGAACCAATGAAGATTATAATCATCGACTTTACAGTACTAAGTCTATGGGCAATTTCTGATCGACAGAAACATTTCAGAACACAGTTAAAGGCAATGAGACTATGACTCACAATTGAGGAAGAAAGACTCCAGCCCTGGATACAACCAACAACTTCACAGAGCCAATGTGGTAGATCCCATCGATCTCTCCAAGTACCATATGCGATCAAAGGACAAGGAAAGACCACGCAAATGTCGAGAAAGCCTATCATACAGAGCATATAGTGTAATGGTTTGCGTAAGGATTTATTCGAGATGATATCAATGATCAAAGTCATATTTAGAACTACCCCGAACACTCCTATGGCCATTAACAGGAAAGCCTCGATGGCACGTTCGGTTTCTGTTGTTGGGTAAGGGTTAGGAACCGATATCCAAGTTGCGTTCGTCATGTTGTCTGCTCCATTCGAGTACGCTTCTAAAGACTGTGTGACGTTATCTGCTGTGTTGGTCCACCCATTGAAATAAGAATTTATAGACTGAGTGACATTGTCCGTCATGTTGTCTGCTCGATTCGAGTATGCGTTCAAAGATTGCGTGACGTTGTCTGTTATGTTTTCTGCTCCATTCAAGTATGCGCTCAAAGATTGTGTGATGTTGTCTGTCATGTTTTCTGCTCGATTCGAGTATGCGTTCAAAGATTGCGTGACGTTGTCTGTTATGTTTTCTGCTCCATTCAAGTATGCGTTCAAAGATTGCGTGACGTTGTCTGTTGTGTTTTCTGCTCAATTCAAGTATGCGCTCAAAGAGTGTGTGATGTTGTCTGTTATGTTTTCTGCTCGCTTCCAGTATGCGTTCAAAGATTGCGTGACGTTGTATGTTATGTTTTCTGCTCGATTCGAGTATGCGCTCAAAGATTGCGTGATGTTGTCTTTCATGTTTTTTGCTCAATTCCAGTATGCGCTCAAATATTGCGTGACGTTGTCTGTTATGTATTGTGCTCGATTCGAGTATGCGCTCAAAAATTGCGTGACACTGTATTTTATGTTTTCTGCTTCGTGTATGCGTTCCAAGACGGTGACGTTGTGTGTGAGGATATCTGTTTCGCAATATCGTGTCTGAAATACATGATATAACTTTATACTCTTCAGTATTTTTCATGTTATTTAAAGGGTTCCGTTGAGCTTACCATATAAAAACAATATGGCGGCTCCAGGCGAGTCAACTGGATCGGTCCATTTTGAAGAAATAAGGTTTTTTTTGTAAAATCCATTTTATTGAAATTGCCTTGGAGATAAAGTAATCCGTTTATAATGATTCTGAAAACATTATTCAGAGAGTGATTGTTCAAAGAATGCATGTACAACAGCCAATATAAATTCTTGTATTAGAACTGCTTTGTTTCATTTGGAGGATATTTCATATGCCAAGCTGTTTACTATTACGCAATGGCGAAAGGATAGGTATCGATGTGGTGAACTGAATTCAACAATTTTCTCTCTTAAACCAATTATTAGAAACATTCTCTAAAAACACGGTCCTTTATGCAATGTTGACTGATTGGCAACAATAAATGCTAAAATTATTTAAATTTATATTTTATATAACTGTTTTTGTTAACATTTTTGTTTTTTAGTGCAATTGTTTCGAGTTCCTTCCTACCAATTCTTGAGAATAAAATAAAAGGTCTTTCCGAACCTTGTTGGAACAAAATAGCATATACGACATTTTTAGACCTCTCAATATTAAAGTTATACAAAGGGAATTTTGGTTGATTTAACAAAAAGTATGCAAAAACTGAAAAAAACAAAATATATAAAAATTAAGATAACCTTTTATTTGATTAACAAGATACTTTTTTCAAATCAACCTAACTTTCCTTTGTACAATTACAATATTGAGAGACCAAAACACGTTGTGTTTATGTCGTTTTGTTCCAATGAGGTTCGGATAGATGTTTCATTGCATTCCTAACATATGATACCAAGAACAAAAGAAGTGTCTGGTGTGTTTTCTAAAATAATATAGAGAAAGTATATATATATTTCATGACTTTGATTATCAAACCAATAGAAATAAAATAAACTTGAACACTTTTCCCATTATATTAGTATATAATACCTTTCTAAATGCAATCAATGAATTAATAAAAATATTCCGTTAAGATTTTAAAAAGTTGCGGATTTTACAATAGAAGTGGAAATACTTACAAGTGTAGACTCAGCTCAGTGAAAAACCATGTTCAATATTAGTGCCTACCATTCCAGCCAATTGCCTTTACGGAGAGTACCGTCTTTATATTCTGAAGAAACTTATATATAAGTAGATGTGATACTCCCTTCCTATGTACTGGGTAACCCGAAAAATCGACCTCAGGTGATCTCTTTTCAGTTGTAAACTATATTATAATATCAACTTGATTTTTGGTGTAATTTAATTAAACTTTGAGTTTAAAAAAATATTACTATTACAACTTTTATTTCATATTACATTATATAAAATATTTACTTAATGCGACTGGCAATTAAATTTGACAAACATCACGTGGAAAATATCTCAAAGCAAAATTATGAAAGCAGATTTAGCAAGCATTCGTGTGTTGCATTTCTTTATTACCTTTCAAATGTGTGTGTCAAACAAATAAAATATAACGAAAACAAATAAAATTATTACCCTGAGTCGTTTAGATCTTATAATTTGTGATAAATATAGTCCATTTGTTTTGGGGTACCCTGTATGCATATACATATATTACCGATGTAACTTTATCCCAACAGTGAAGTTAATAAACTGACGTAAGATGACACGCTGAAAATAAAAAAATAGAAATTAGTTCGACAATTCGTGATGTTATAAAAACGAGATGTGTCTGCGTAATGATTATATCTATCTTAAAAGGAAAATATAGAGAATACTACCCACACCAGTTGAAATATTATTCATCGCACAGCTCTTTGCGTTCATAAATGTGATATTCTTACGTATAGACGATTATTTTTAAGATTATAGAGCTTTCGATATAAGTTTTCATCCAAACTTGCTGCGACGTACGTTCACTTTTAAATGGCAATGCCAGTGAAATCGGAAAATATCTGATGACTATAAATAGAGCAATTGAGTGACCTTGACCTGTGTATTTTAGGTTATATCATAAGCATTATATACATGTCAAATTCACTCAATTGCTCTACAGTCATTTATAGTTTTCCCATTACGGACATGTTATAGAATAGAAGAGTCTTTGGTAATAGATTTTTATGTGGTCATCACCGGTAGGGAATTTCAGAATTAACATAAGAGTGAGGGTGAATATTGAAATGTCATTATTTTGTCCAATCCACTTGGAGATGACTTGCCTTTGTTGACTAACTTTAAAAACTGTCTTCTTAATCTAGCTCGTCCATTTTTGCTTAATCGATGTCGTTTACATTGATGAATTTTATTGTCAGAGAAGAAGATACATAATAGGGTGTTCCAGAATACGGCTTTTTCATGCTAGTAAGATGCAGTTCAGCCCAGATGGGCTCTTGATAGTAAAGTTTAAGCTGAAAAAAATTCGGTTCTTAAAATCGACGTCTGACCCCCCCCCCCCCCCCTACCGACGTTTTTGCGAAAACTGGTAAAAAACGGCAAAAAACGTCATTTTCTAGCCTTACAAGGTAAAATATGAAGGATGGATGTCAGAAACCTTGTCAAAATCATTAGGTTATGGTCATTATGTATTATGATACAGTTGAAAACATAGTATACCTTGTTCATTAATTATTTAACCCTTTTTTTGCGAAAACTGGTAAAAAACGGCAAAAAACGTCATTTTCTAGCCTTACAAGGTAAAATATGAAGGATGGATGTCAGAAACCTTGTCAAAATCGTTAGGTTATGGTCATTATGTATCATCATACAGTTGAAAACATAGTATACCTTGTTCATTAATTATTTAACCCTTTTCCTACTAATATTTGAGCGAAAATCGCAAATATATCACATTTTGAAACAAACTATTTGCTCTTTTACTGTTATTCATATGGTAGCTTATCTCTAACTACTAAACACCACCAAACTGGTAATACTGATGGTAATAACAATTAGATAAATGGTACTGCAAGGGTTAAGCACTGTAAACCATATATATCTTTGTTTTACGGCCCATGAGTTCTTCAAGCCTGTGTCTCTGCACCATCACCACGCCTTGACCTACAGCTCTGGAAACACATGTGTATCTTTGAGGTAAATCCATATGCCAGGCATTCAAAATATACAGTTGTAATAAGTAAAAAATATTGGAGTGTTCATAACATGCAGGTCAATAAGTAAAAAACTTCTAATATATTCTAGGATGTAGATAATGAGATAGCCCAGGAAGTGAAATCCGCCATACTCAGACACCAATGGTACCTCACTGAATCCCTGGTAGTCTTTGCCCTGTTTGATGATGGCCTGGATGACATCACACGGGAAAGTATGGCAAGACATCTATTGGGAATCCAAAGACCAAATGTCTTCAACCCTGGGAAGCCAGATTTCCACACTGATATACTCATTCAGCCCAACCAAGAACTTATTGACTTTTTAGGGCCAAGATCTTGGTTGTTATTTGATCTTACAAATGGGGATACAACTTGGCTCAATCTACCCATCAACCAGTGGGCTACACATCAAGGATATATTACATTGGCAGCTATTGTGCATAATCTGTATGTGGTTAATGACGCTGCAGAGAGGAGCGTAAAAGACATACAAGACTACGCCAATGCTGCCCGTGATGGCACTGTGAGGGCTAGAATGATTCTGGTTTCCTCCTCTCATAGGGCCAAGATCCCTGTATTCCTAAAAAATGAAATGCAGAATAATCTGTAGACATTAGACATTGTTATTATAACATGTTAGATTATTTATGAGTACATGGGTGGAACTAATTCAGTGTAAACCATTATCTAAATGAATGCATGATCACCTTATAACCAGGACTCTAAAATATGGTTTACAGTGCTTAACCCTTGCAGTACCATTTATCTAATTGTTATTACCATCAGTATTACCAGTTTGATGGTGTTTAGTAGTTAGAGATAAGCTACCATATGAATAACAGTAAAAGAGCAAATAGTTTGTTTCAAAATGTGATATATTTGCGATTTTCGCTCAAATATTAGTAGGAAAAGGGTTAAATAATTAATGAACAAGGTATACTATGTTTTCAACTGTATGATAATACATAATGACCATAACCTAATGATTTTGACAAGGTTTCTGACATCCATCCTTCATATTTTACCTTGTAAGGCTAGAAAATGACGTTTTTTGCCGTTTTTTACCAGTTTTCGCAAAAAAGGGTTAAATAATTAATGAACAAGGTATACTATGTTTTCAACTGTATGATAATACATAATGACCATAACCTAATGATTTTGACAAGGTTTCTGACATCCATCCTTCATATTTTACCTTGTAAGGCTAGAAAATGACGTTTTTTGCCGTTTTTTACCAGTTTTCGCAAAAACGTCGGTAGGGGGGGGGGTCAGACGTCGATTTTAGGAACCGAAATTTTTTCAGCTTAAACTGTACTATCAAGAGCCCATCTGGGCTGAACTGCATCTTACTAGCATGAAAAAGCCGTATTCTGGAACACCCTAATACATAATACTTTATGAAATACTGAATATATTACCACAATCATCCGAACAGAGTATTCACATAATGAACAGTGTGTGAAATATCAATAACGCATTTGTTGTGTACAGTTGTTAAACGATTGAGATTGAAATTGAGTTTTCAAATACTTGACCCTGCAAAAGATTTCATTGAAAATATGTTCTTTTGGTGATTTTGTATCTTTTGATTTAATAGAAAATATTTTGCAATGTGTGATGTAATCTCAAGGCTCAATGCATTGTGGCTGCTTCATTACACCCAGATGTTGTTTCCTAAACTTTGCATTTCCCCAGCGGAGTCATGCAAAGATTTGGAAACAACAAATTCTTGGAATGGTTCAGCACATAATGCACTGAGTCCAAGGGTTAAATCCTAAACCTCTGTTGTAATTATGGCTATGGGATTGATATTATAATCCTCGTGGATTTCTGTTCTCTGCAATTCGGTTTTGAAGGGATCGTATCATAACTAATGACTCTATACTCGATACAAATAATACGAATGAAAGAACTATTTCCGGGAAGACCATAATTTCTTAAAATGCCGTAAGTTCTCTTAAAAATGTGAAACTTATATCTCCCTAATGTTGAAAACAACTCGGATACATAATATGAGAGACAGGTTAATGGGCTATCAAAAACATTGATTAGAAAAAAGAAATTTGACATTTCTAGATGATGATGATTTATGTTGAGAACCAAGATACATTATTTCATAAACGGCATACTGAATAACCAAAGAGACGAATTTTTTATTGTCTTCATTTAAGTTAAAACGATGAAGTATCGCTTCTGCATACAGTGGCACTTTGACTTCAGGCTTTTGTTGTTATTAGCTGCTACAGTCTTATCAGGTCACCTATTACACATATTTTACATTACATGCATACAATTAGATAAAATACAATTATAGAAATTTCAAGTTACAAAGTTACATCTTTCTTATCATTTTTTCAGTAGCTTCTCTCAAAAGGATATTCATTGCTGCCACGAACAGGATCAGAGAAACTGTGCAGCCTGCCATGATTCCCCTCTCTTGACATTTCCAGATGATGATGATTTATGTTGAGAACCAAGATACATTATTTTATAAATGGCATACTGAATAATCAAAGAGACGAACTTTTTATTGTTTTCATGTAAGTTAAAACAATGAAGTATCGCTGCTGTTATTAGCTGATACAGTCTCATCAGCGCACTTCCCATCTTCATTGCTTGTTTCGCCCCATTATAGTACGTACAAACTCAGATGGGTAGGGAAACAGGGTGATCAAATCCCACTCACGGATACAGCCAGCTCTCTCTACAACGCAGCCATAGCCATCTGGATGACCGCTCTGCCGTTTGGCTTGTCTCTAGAAGGGCCTTCTTTCTTTTCCTAGGTGGGATGCCAATAGATTTGAACATCCAACTAAGGATTTTGCAGCTAGTCATCTGGCTCCTACTTCGACTGGGAAACAATGGGTGGTTCAGTCATTCTGCACAGCTTCTTGTACTATATCCTGGTACTTGGTCCTTTTCAACTCGTTGGACACTTCGATCCTGTTCTCCATGGGGACTGTTAATTCAACCAAGATGACTGTCCTTTTGGATTCAGACATGATGACAATGTCTGGTCTGAGTGTTGTCTGTGCCACATGTTGGGGAAATATAAGACGCTTCCCTACATCCACTAACATCTTCCAGTCAGTTGCCTTGTGAAGAATCCAAGGTGATGAGGGGGAGTTAACCTTAGACAAGGCTGAAGTACTGGTTGATGCTCCTTCCTTAAAGATTCTCGCAATCTTTATCCAATCAGCGTTTGCGATGTATACCGGCTCACGTATAAAAGGCGAATCCAACTCAAATCCATGCAGGGGTGTATGAGGTACTCGAATAGGAAAGAGCTCGTGAAATCTGAATTTATATGCACATGGTCAATGTTTACACATGTATGGAGTTATTGAAGAAAATGTGATATGGGTGTGCTTCAAAATTTGAAGTCATTGCTGGAAAATATGATTTTAATACGTGAAGTACATGAAGTACATGTATGATTGTGTCCAAAAATGTTTGAAACCCTTACGGAAAATTCTGTCTGCATTTTGTCACCATTGCTCTTTCTTCCCGCATTCTAGTGCTGTTTGAATGAATATATTTATTAATGTATTTCTAACTAAAATATATCACTTTTTTTTATAAACCACAAACATTTAGATCATAAAAAAAATTATTCAATACTTGAGTGAGCACGATATGCAAGGGTTACTAAGTTGACACAGTAAATGACCACTGATATTGTGTTAGTCCATGCACACAGCGTATTCTGCTAATACACAACACCCCTCACTTTCATAGTGAAGTGACTTATTGGTTTATGTTTACGTTCTAATGTGTTTTGGGTTCCTTGTTACAGCAAGGGGGGCGAGTAAAGTAGACTAACATGTTTGCATGGCAAGTTTTGATCGAATATGTAAGACACTTTAATGAAGGTGGTTCAGAGTGGGTAGGGTGGTCATTAAGGATTGGGTCTATGTGTCGAGCTATTTCCTTCAGGACTTGGTCATGTCGCCATGTATTAGCCTCACTGCGCTGCTTTGGAATTGGGATGGGTGAACATTTAGCCTTTCCCTGGTGAATCCTCACACCATTCCAGTTCTTCCACATACTTCACACGAATCTCGTCGTCCATTGTCGTTTCCTGTAGTTGCCTCCATTCAAATCCGTCCGTAGTTTGAGGAAGCTTCCGCCCCTCCTCTTGAATCATCACGGGAATGTTGTTCTCTATTGATAATTGTAGCTGTGTGTGATTGGTGCTTCCACTAAATAGTATCAGTTGACTCTGGAGGGTGCTGAGCTACAGAGTCCCTGGTTGCTGTCTTTCCAAGCTGTCACTGTTCTATTCACAGTTGTCACAAGGTCATTTCGGACCAACCTGTACTATCCAATGCACATTATGTATATGAAATTTAGAGGAGAAAATTACATTTTACTCTTTCCATGAAAATAATGTTAAAATTGATCGACATATATTTTTTAATGCATAAGAACGTATTTTTGCGAAACGCAAAATTCCAATCCACTCATAGTAACGTAACATGATATAACAAATAACAAAAAAAAACATTCAAAATAACATTCAATTATAAATGGTTTTACAGATTTCCAAAATCTTTGGTAAAAATTGTGAATTATTAAATCAAACATGATAAAAATACATTTTTTTCAAAACAAAAATGATATATTAAACCACTTTCACACCACCCCCATTCATTCAGACCAAAAGCTCTGACTCATATTAAAACACATGGATGCTTGAAATTGAACCTGATCCTAGATATACATTCCTTACATTGTTTTAATTCATTTGTTTGTCTTAACATATAATTTTGGAATAATTTAGAAAGGACGATTCTCGGTTTGGAAAACGAAGTTCATCAATCTAAATGAGAATCGTCCTTTGGTAAAATCATCATTGCCATTATAACCTGTAATTGATTTGTGAACAAAATTTTAGATTCTCTTGGTCAAAACAGTATCAAAAAATAATTTTTATTGAATTTGGATTTCTATAAATATCACAACAATAACTGTGCTCTTTGTCAATGGGTCCTAAAAGTGGAAAGCACTGGAATAAAAGGCATTATCGAATGAATGGAGGTCCGTTAAGGACTGAACATGCATCATTTATGGAGCGGGTAAGGATTGAATTTCTATGGTATGAAACCGCATGTCAGGGTATATCAGGAAACGTTATTTAAGTAAAGTGAGGTTGGTTGGGGCTTAGAATAAAATCAAAGGGAAGATCAAATAATCATTATTCTAAGTTTTAATTTACGAAATGCATTATATAGGGTGTAATCAAATAAATAGTGATTACCAAGCACGTGTTTTGCAAATAGTCAAAGTGTCTAATAACATCTTCCCTCGGCTATCTTGTCTACTAATCATACATAAAAATTAAACAAAAATAAGTTTGAGTTGATACGTTTATTTAAACAAATGGTCACTCAATACAGTGAATAAAACGTTAAGTAATGAGGTGATTAATATAAAAAGTAATTAAACCTGTCAGCGTTTGATTTATTCCAGTGGACAAGGAAAGTTCTGATTAAGGAACGCGAGTATTTTTTGAGGTGCGTACAAATCAGCATGATCGAATATCAATAGTTCTCCAGAAATATTATCTCTCGAAACAGACTTTTTAATTTCATTTTCAGATGCGACGTTAGTTCTGTGTTTTTTATTATCTAATGTTACCCATATGACACTCCCGCCATTTTGTATTATGTTACTTGCAGCTGCGATTGTTTTCCATCTAGAGTTTTTTGGTGACGTCATACCATCACTAAAAATTACGACCACGTCCTTAACCGACGCATCGTGTCTATCTTTGATGTCTGTAAAATATTTTTGTCTCACAAAATCTAGCGCTAAGTTCGTTCTCGTTCTGCATTTTTTATGCTTTACACGTAAATTGTACAAGGCCATTAGAACAGGCATGGGGTCGCCATTTTCTAGTCCGACCATATATGGAAATAAATCGACTATGTTGCCATCGTAGGTTAATCCTCCGATCTGAGATCCAGTTATTTTGTTCAAAGGTAGATTTCTTGCAACTGCCATCGATATAGCGACGGCCCTTGTTATATTTCTTTGTGGAATCGAACATGACACGTCAATTGCAAACACTAGATCTGCACAAACTAAAAATTAAGAAAATTAGAAAATATTAAGATATGAAATGCCAATGCCATCCACAAAAATAAGGAGATTGAGAAATTATAACACGATGGAAAGCTATATTTCCGTCATTAGAATCTCATTAAACTTAATTGAAGCCAGAAGAAAAACAAATAAAAATTAAAATATCAATTTGAAACATTTAAGTACTATAAAATCATAAAGAAAATGAATCAGGGTCTACTATGGACTCCTTTTCTTGCGAGAATTCTCACTTACCCCTTTGATCTGCCGCTCCTCCACACGAGAATCTCGAGGTCAGCGATTGGAATAACTTTTCCCCATCCTCCTCTGACAAACCATCGTATATGTGCACTTTGCCTGGGTTACGCCCCTTTACTCCCAAACCACTGGTTCGACCGGTGAAATTTACCGAACTAAAATTAAAAATACGATTTACATGGTACATGCAAGACTCGTTTTTTCTGTGGCGGAAATGAGCATTACATTTTTAAATTATCAATATTGACAACTTTAAAACATTTTCCTGTGTTTTGCTTAAGTATATATTTGATCATAGCTATCATATCAGAGATAGAAATGGTCTTGCCAAGAATGTCCCTTTAAGTTGAAATGCGTCACAACCGTTAATGCCGCCATGTCCAACGAATTGAATTCGATACAGAAATCATAACTAAAATGTATAAAATTAGTAGACCTTTGATCTTGAAAATATACGATGTTCAATTCAATTCCAGCCACTTCAAGGGCTAGCATGTTTTCAGCTGTTTCTTCTACGTTTTCAAAAAGACTTGTGAAGTAGAGAACAACATTTGGGTAATTGGCCCTTCTGAAAAAAACATTGAAACGTCAAAATAATTTGAACCAGATCATTGAAACATGGACTTTAAGACTTGACTTTGAGAGAGTGGGTTAAGCCAAATACACACCAATGCAAAATCCCACTTGTCCGCTTGAGTCCCACTTTGCCCCATCGAATCCCACTTTGCCCCATCGTATCCCAATTTGCCCCAAATGCCGCGAAGTTCCATGGGACCTAGTTGATTTTGCCCCATCGAGTCCCTCAATGTCCCATCGAGTCCGACGGACATTATGTAATTTAGTTTGGAAGGTTTTGCTGCGGCCATTTTGATCCAAAGTCACCTGACACATGACATGATAAAAAGTACCACAATGACCCATGAACGAAATTTACATGTTCATTCTCGATGAGAAATATATGGCGATTTTAAAATGTAGTATTCAAAAATTATGTTATTAAGTAATCTACCATGATTGCACTTATCACAAGCTAAATTGCTGTTCGGGGAAGCATATGGAAATAAAAGTAAAAAGATATTTTAATGGGTCTTATTAACAACGCTTAAGTAGTAACCTTTTGGGATCTAATTACTCACGCAAAGACTGATGTCGTGTTCTTCAGAATGTCGATGGTTAGTTGAACAATACTCCCGTAACACTCGTCGCGTGTTATCTGATCTATTCTTTTAGAGATATCATCTAAATCTGTTTCATCTGAAAAAAGTTTTTTTAGATTTGACAACACACCGTAGTGTTAAACAAATTTAAGCCTTGGACTCAGTGCATTGCAGACTGAATCATTCCTCCAAGATGTTGTTTAACCTTTGCACAAGATGCGTAGAGTGAGTGCTAAGCTCAGGAAATATCCCCGGGCTGAATGAATCAGCCACAATGCATCGAGTCGATGGCTCAAATTCTTCTCGTAAATCTGTGACATCCGTGAAAGAATTAATATCAACAAACGGATAAAGAGGCATATCACCACTGTCCATACATGTACTTACTAAAATGTTGTATCGTGTGCCCCTTCTTGCTGAGAATGACCAGTGAAATGCGAAGATCCGCTCCATTGATTGTCATCAACCTGCGCACAATGTTCTTTGTCGTCTGTTTGGCAATGTACATCTTTTCACTATCCAGGCATGATATGTCTAACACCAGGGCAAGATCCATACATGCTGGAGATATTGAATTTTGTGATATTCATAACCGTAAGGTAGATATAGCTAAAGAGGGCGCTATCAGCAATTTTTAAATTGCACGAATTAAGTTTAATTGCCAGGTTTTTTAAAGGGAACGGTACATCGCTTGATATAAATGTTGGCACTTCATTCGTTCAAATTGTTTTACATTTTTATAAGTGTACAAGGATGGAGAATTGTAGAAAATAGAATTCCTTCGAGACTGTAAATGAGTAAGGGGTGTGTTACGTACCTGGACCTCCAGGAAGTCCAAAGTTGTCATGATGATATGAGTTCGTATCCTCTGGCCAAGGCTGGATATCATCCTTAACCCGGTGAATACGATCTGCTGGAGGTTCAATGTCTCGTTCTGATTGCAACGAAATTGATAACAATTATACGAATACACTCAAATACTACAAGTACATTCAAGTACACTTGTACAGACAAGTATACTCAATATATTCAATGGCCTTTATTCAAAAGCCTAACCATAGGTATATTGGAAATGGCTTTTGCGATATATAAATATCTTTGAGAAATGATATAAGAACATGCCACTCCTATGACTAGGAGAGTAATTCATTTAAACTTGGTATTTTTGTATTTTTAAAAAATTAAAATCAATGTAACATATACGATACAGGTTATAGTGGCTATTTTTAGGCATTATCCAATTCCATAGCGAACAATCAATAGCAATTGATTATCATCTCGACTTTCAAATAATATTATAAATAAATTATGATATAAACAAACCTGTGTTTATTGATTGACCGGTAAAGATGGTAACCTCCAATAATAGTAAACTTGTAAACAACTTCGACGGCATCATCTTTTGCGTTACTATAATGCCTAGCAAGCTAATCTTTGTTTTCAGGTTAATGTCTACCAAGCTAGTCTTGTAATCCTTTCGGAACAACGTCAGTGGGATATACATGTACGACAATATCAGACTTACGTGTAATAAAACCAATTAACATTACTGATTTGATTTAAGTTTGCGACAATATTTAATTGTAAGGTGCGACTGCAAATCCTATCGAACTAACATAACTGCAATTTTTACAAAAGTCTTTTGTAATATCAGAATAAATTGGAATTGAAAAACGGCTTTACTTGATTGTATGCAAACATGTACACAATTTAAGACGAATTCATTACTAATTCCATAATATTAATCAATCATTTGTCAATAACGGGCACTAAGCTAGTATTTACATTAATTTGCCATTAAATTAAATTTTTAATAATATCTTATTTTATCTTATAAGGCATATGCAATGTGAATCAACAAATATACATACGATATAATTTGTATAGCCAAGAGCCAATATTGGTCTGCTTCTGCTCCATTAGGAATTTTCTTTTCCAATGTTTTAGTGCTTTTAACCAGAAAATGAATTGGTCAAAATTCAAGTGCACAATAACAACAGAGTTAAAACAACAAAAAACCAACGTGATCACATTGCCTTTCTTTGATTAACATCTCAAAAATATATTAACCAATAGAGAAGTTTCGCACATCATCTTTGGGCTGTGCTGTGAAAAATCAACACACTTGATTTACTTAAAGTTTTTAGTTATGTTCTGACGGCCATTCTACAGACACCGAACGCTGTATAAAGTGGCATTGATATCATACCCGGCGGGGTGCTAGAAAATATCCCCAAAAAGCATTCCACCACGCCAAGAAGTTTCTAAAACACATTCTGCAAACTTCACCAATCTGAAATTTTCTCGCATCAACCAAACTGCGCTGGTTATTCTCCAATTTAACTACATCCTCATCATTTTGGACGTTCAGGTCATCATTGCCTTTGCATAATGTCTTGTTCTGTCCATTTTGTCCTGTATCACAAGGTCCAAACAGAACTTGATCCAGTTTTGACTCATCATGGTTTTCAATCTCTTCTCTGACCTTTTCGATAACACCACCCACGGATTTCTCGAGTTCCTCTCTGACTATGTCATCATCCATTTTAAATCCTTTCAGCCTTTTAATTCTGTTTTCAAGTCGAGTAGCTTTGAACGCATCGTAAGTAAATGTGACTTGACCTTTCGGATTTGTATCCTTTTGAGGTTCATGATCGCTGTCAGTGGTATTAGTAGCTTCTTCACAAGGCGCTAGCAGTAATTTTACCTTATTAAGGATAACGTCGAGAGGCAGGCCTCTATACTTATCACACGATTTCTGCCTCGGCGATATTTCTGGTGATGTCTTGGGTGTAGCCTTCAAAACGTGCTCTACACTTTCTGTAGTAAAATCCCCGAAGTGGGTCTTTTCCTTCGGCGTTCGAACAGGTGGTGGTATTTGGACATCCAACGTTTTCTCTATCTTTGCGCAAAATGGACGCAGGTTCTCCTGGAAATGTTCACTTTTTGTATCACTACATTTAGAAATAGTAGTACCATCCGGTGCCACATCAACATTTTTGGTATTCTTATTGGTCTCAAGTACAATATCATTGATATCGACACATTTCATCACATTTGCTGTACCGTTGTCAACCTTCGCTGCAGCCCCGGACTCTTCATTCATATTCTTTTTGTCATTTTTTCGATTGTTTTCTATCAGCGACTTGAAATTTGTGACTGAGAAGTCATACTGACTCCGTGGTTTCGTTCTACCCTCTGCCTGTGGTAGCTCTGCGATGTAAACAGGGGATTCTTTTATGTTCGCATCAATGTCAGCACTCAATGTTTTATTTTGTTCATCACAGTGCTCAGTTTTGTTCGCTGTTCCATGTGCATTTACATTTTCGTATTGTGCCCTTTGTAATTTATCACTTCCACCCTCGGCCGTCTTGTTGTCATCAGGTACCTGTTGAGTGACATTTCCAGAGGTATCTGTCTCCCTTGGTTTATGATTTACCATTTCGCTTGGATTTTTGTCCGCTTGGATAGTTGGATTATTTATCGTCCTAGAACAAGCAAATAAATACGAATATTACCAAATATATGTAACGTTATTCATCGATCCTTGTTTCTCCAATTTACTAATGTTATTAATTAGATTCAAACGTTACGTCCACTAGTAAAGTTAAATCTACCTACCTTGGAAAAATCTGGAAGCGAAGAAAAAAGTACCAGTAAAGAATTTTCGCTACGACGAGCTAAATAAACGATGTATGAGTGGCACTCCGGAAAGGTTTACTTTGATATGTACTTGCATTGATGGATTAAGATTGTATTTCAATCGATCTCTCGTTAGTCCTTCACATGGACAACCATGCGAACGGAGTATGTAGGCCAATATTCACACTCCATCACACGTTAAGAAAACAAAATTACCCATAGCACATCTTTAATCCGTCTTTGATTACCTACTCATTTTTTGTTTGTTCGATATTTGTAAAATATTTATTTAATAGACGCAAAGTCACAATTTGCATTTTAACTAATAAAAAGCTGGGTTCTCTGCAAATTGAATTTTCAGAAAACAAATTCACGTCAAAAATAATCACGTAAAAAGTTAATACGTTAACACATAGTGCCCATCGTACAACACAAATTATTCCTGATCAGAAGGAACAGCGATGGTGTTTCTATACAATACGATACAATATCATGCAAGATAATACATAAGGGGTATATTGATTACCGTGTTTAGAGAGTACCAAAGAAGTCGATGTTTAGATCTGACGGAATATTGATGTTTCTGTTATCAGATTCATATATCTGTTTGTAATGATATTGTTTGTTCCTTCTGCTGTTTCCCATGAATTCACTTGCAAGTTACAATACGTTAATCCATTCTTCAAATTCCTGCTAGCAGTTGTACAATGTAGTTTTCAAAATATCGACTACATTTGGGATTTTTAGACGAATTTGCATAATGTCATTTTGAAAACTCTCAAAACTAATTGTGACATTTCTTCAAACTCTTAAATTTCTTCAAAAATGTTGACTCAAAATTGTTTATTCCATCAAAATTTTCTCTCAATCAACAGAGGATTGGAGGTAGATATTTCTCTTGACCGTGGTGCTATATATGGAAGTATAAGGTCGTTATTCACCTGTCGGGACGATATGAGGAATATCAAAATAATCATATCATTATTTCCCGATGGAACGCAGTGACAAATACCTCCTGATGAATAACTTCTTGCATCTGCTTTGATCTTTTTAATCGAAAAAGTTATTATACAAGCGACTCAGTTACGTCTGTTTTTGTTTATTATGTGAAGCAGTATTTCTGAAAGAATATCAAGTTTAAGCAATCATTTATAATAGCGAATGAAGACAGTTACCACTATCACATCGGAATTTGAATTACATGTACATTGGTCCAGATGTAAGCTTAATAGAGTTCCAACTCAATTACAATAGTCAAAAAGATATAAACAACAAATTTTAAATGAACTTGTATAATCTTTAACAATGTTATGATACAAACATACAAATCAAATTGGAAGACATTTCTAAATAATATATTGGCGACACACGATTATAGCCAGCAATATAAATAATGTAGTCCTGGTGGCCTTTTCGACATTCAGACAAAATCCATGCTCTGTCATGACGTCAGATATCTTCATTGAGACACACTTCTAAGTAAAGTTAAATAAATCACATGTAGATAAGTTTTGGCTCATAGAATTTGTCATGTCTTATGCCGAGACACAACTATTTCTAAAGTCCATTTTCGTTTAAAGGCTACGTCGGGACTATCATTTATGTTATTGTTTTTAAGCCTATAACCCTTTTCATATCACATCTGAAATAATGAAATACATAATAGTTATACAGTTTACTGATATATTTAATATACGGTTTTAGAGTAAAATGAGTAGCCAAGTAATGGGACGTTTTAAGACAAAATAATACGTTTGATCTCCAATAGATTTATTACACGAGTACATGTACATGTAGACAATCTATGGTTTTCACTCCAGAGTTATCTTTCTTACCCGAGTGTCTTCGTTTACATCATCTCCAGAGTCATTTAATGCAGGCATGTGACGTTTACTTAGCACTAAGGATTTCACGGCGTCGTCGAGTGAAAGATACAGTATACTCGTTCCATGTTTCTCAAAGAAATCATCCTGGACCAAAATTCTTATCACCGAATCTGGAAATATGTAAATGTACATATGATTTAAACACAATATTGGGAATATTTTCGTTTGACATCAATTTGAATATTAGCTGTTTGACAAATGGGTATATATTATATATTATATTAAAATTTTGTTACTGGTATATAAAGGTATTAAAAACGTTGATAGAAAAAACTGACCTATACAGCCGGCCAAAATTACTTTAATGTCGACCTCCTTATACTCCTCGATGACCTAGAAATGAATGAAACACTTTTTCACTAAAAATATACATGTAAAAGCATTATCAAATTACCATATGCATCTAATTATACCAAAATAGCACCATCGACTGTCCTTTCATACATGACTAAATTTGTTAAAAGATTATAGCCCATGACTCAGCGCTTTTTCAGTGACCTCGATGAGGGTTTACTGCGGACGCTTTTTGTTTGCAGATAAAAACATGTGTAAAAATGCTAGACATGTTCTGTGAACACGTGCCACTGTTCAATCAAAAATGACATTATGGCAGTATTTGCTTAAAATGATCAATTGACCACAATATAAAATTGAAGAGATTAGTTGCATTATACCTAAAATGTGTATATTAATTGTAGCTTAAATTTACCAGATTTAATACGGAGATACCACCAGAGTCTATAAAACCCATAGCAGAACAGTCAACTATCACATGAGTTACTTCATCTTCACTTGATATAGCACCACGATCAATTGTAACGCAAGAGGCCTGTGGTTCTGTTTTACAGATATCATCATTAAACCCAGCATTTACATGTCCATTGATACCATTCGAGTATGTCACGTGTTTGTCGTTTTCTGTTTGAATCACCGATAAGTTACTCGGATTGTTTTTTCTTGATATTTTTTCAGCGTTGTCTCTCTTGAGTTTGATCAATGCTGGATTACAGTTTGTATCTTCGTAAAGATGTCGCTGGAAATGTTCACGGTTCATGAAGCAGAGTGGAGAATCAATTCGGAATATCTTTATACCAGGGAGAGCCTTGACCTGGAAAAGGTTGTAACATGTTATCGAATTATATCCTTTGGATGTATTCTATAAACACCCCCCATAGCCATGAACTCTTTCCAAGGCCCGTTTTACTTAATACATAGAAATACGTAATACATTTTCGATCCAAAATTGCCGTCGTAGAGTACACTATGACTTCTTTTTATCGACGTCTCACCAATGTTTTGAAAATGATCTTGACTTGACATGAGTCTAACTACATCTTTCATAACCCCAACCTAAGTGACATACTGTAACAACAATACATTTGACATTTCTGGTGACCTTGACCCCTTTACGAATACCAAAGAAGCATGCTTTATTTTACAAAAGTTAATTTTGTTAAGTACTAGACCCAATAATACACAGTCCAAGTAGCCAACTTACTTTCTCGCTTTGTTTAATTTCCCTGTACGATTGATCCATTGCTTCAATACTACCCATCATATCAGCTTCCGGCCTGAAATTGTACAGCATTTACTCGATTTTAGCTCATGCAGGCGTTTGCTTTTTGATGAAATCAGCAAAACATGGAGGGTTAATATTGTACAAAATAATGCGCATGTGAGGCTAGCTTACCTTATATCACTGCCATACTCTTGTGAGGCAGTGAGGGGGCAGTGAGTTATCAACAAAAGTTTAACTCAAAATTTCTTCCGCGGATATTTCCTTTAATATATCATGATTTTTTGAAATAGTTTGACAAATGAATAATTGAGCAAATGTATATCATCATTTCACCCAGTATTGAACTCGCCAACAATGGGACAGAACGGACTAATTTCTCCAGATTTTAGACATTTCATTTGCCCACAGCAGTGTCTATTCAAAGGCACTGCCATGCCATCTATATGCTGTACTATTGTGACTGTATTTGTTTATCTGTCACGTGTATCTCAGATTTGCCATTTATGGAATAAAATGCCATATTTGAATTAGCCGGCCAAGGTGATTGGCATTCCTGCATTCGGCTAACCTTAGAGGCTGTGTCTAAATGGTGGCAGATGTGGAAAAAAAATACTTGAGTATAATAATTCTAGTTACCATTGCATTCTAAAGATTAGAGTTAGGATGCAGAAGGAAACGCCGACTAAAAGCCCTAGATCGGTGTCTAGTAGTATTGTAGCTATCCACGAGACAAACCAAACCATCTGTAAACAAAATCAGATATACTTCAAAACAGATAAAAACCAGTGAATAAAGGATGAACAGAGTAAGCAAGTCAGAATATAATGCTAAAACAGGCTTCAAAAATCGACACAATTAATGAGACGCGCAGAAAAATGCTTGCTTTGGCAAGAGTTGGACAAAATGCTGGATTTACATACTCACGCCATCAATCTTTGAGAAAAACCACAATCTCTTTAGTTCGCTAAATTGTTTGAACATATTTTTGACAGCAACCATGACAATGGATGCTAAAACACACTGAAAAATGAAAAAGTATGTATATGGTAAATAAATAGAACCTGTTTCATTAGTTAGTCAATTAATCTATCATGGTTACAAACGGTGACTAATTGAACTATAACGTCAATAATAACGTGAATTATTATAAAAAACAATTGTGATGTATTGTCGTGGTTGCGTTTGTTCTCGACACTGTAAATGACTGTATGTTATACGTGCTAAATACCTTGGAAATAATAACAAATGTTTTAGATTAAAACAAAAAATACTATAAATAAGCTACTTTTATGAAAGTCATGCATATCATTTCTAGTACATCAGATAAAAATTGAATCGGCCGTGGATAATATCAAAAAATCTTCTAAAATCCCATCAAACGAAGTCTTACAGGAATCCCAAAAATTGTTACTAGGATTCGTACTACCTTTGGCAGTTCATACAATAGACCACTCAGTGCCAACAGGACAACCATTACAAGAATTGACGACACCAGACCGCATATCTGAAGTGCATATATAGGGGTTATGCACTGGGAGGTTTTGGATACAGGTAATATCCCGAGGTATATACAATATATTTTCCCGAGGGACCGAAGGGACCGAGGGAAGATGTATTGTATATCCCAAGGGATATTCCATGTATCCAAACCGACCGTGCATAACTGGTGTATCTCATACTTGAGTGGGTTTAGGGTAGATATAACCTTTTCACCTTTTTAAAATGACAAGATATTTATGTTTAACATTTTCGTAATATTCTTTTTGTTCAATACAATGAAACTGTAACACTTAAACTTAAAAAATTTAAATTTTAAAATTAAGAAATTAAAACTTTTTATATTTAAACTTTTTTAAACTTTTGAAAAATTCCCGGGAGCTGGATGGATATATTATATCTGCCCGCATTTGGCCTGGAGCGGGACATATACAATATATCCTGCCCGCTCCTCAGATACGATATATATTCCCGGGTGATATCTACCCCAAACCCACTCAAGTATGAGATACACTCGTATATACCATCTAGCAGTTCAATTACTGCCGATATAAGTTAGTGACATTTCAACGCCGAAAATTGCCGTTTTGACTTGTGATGGCACCAACAGATGAGACTATCTTTCTTTATTTTGTTTGCACTAATGTGTTGACACCTCAGGAGTGAAATCTAATTGACTCGGGACAGAAAGAATACCAGTACATGATCTTAGTACGTGATTGCAGATTAGAAATAGTTCATGTTTTGATTTATATGTGGATATGACCTAAGCTAGACACCCGCTAAACGTTTGCATACTACCTTAGACTAATAAATAAAAAATAATAGAAAAAATCAACAAAATAAGCGGTTAAATACCTGTGTTACTCCGCCTGCAGATTCAAGCACTAATGTTCTGGACATGGAACAAGCTGATGTATAACAGCTAAAGAAACTACACGATACATTTGTCATTCCCATAGCGATTAACTCCTAAAATCAAGAACACGTGTGCGTGGATGTTTACACGTGCGTGACGGGCTTCCTAATAACATGTTCTCTGACGGTCTAATTGGGTATGTTAAAAATGTATATAAAGCAACGTGAACATTTCAAATTCATTTGTCAATCACCAAGAAAATGACAGACATTTCTGATAAACGGAACAAGTAGTTTTTAGGTTAAAGCAATTAGTTCCTTTAGTTACAATAAATTAGAAGTTCAAGACATGGCTAGCTTTGTGTAACGTTACTACATACAATGTTGAAAAAGAGCTCGAATTGCCAAATTTCTGAAAGGGAGTGTAAACTAGGAATAGCGTACCTGGTTCGAGTCCACGTCGTACCCATGTTTTTTAGCAAACAGCTTAGAAAGTGCCATATGAATTGAATAACCAACAATTGCAATGACAAACGCATCTGGGATGTACTCGCCTGCGTATTGTAAATCTGGCAAACTTGGGGCCGGAAGCCTAAAATTGAAGACGTCGGATCTTGCTATACGAAAATGTTTTTTTGCGTGGTAAGGGGGGTATTCCATGCAGATGGAATGTTACAGTTAAATCGATACTTCACAACGGGCGTGACCATGTTTTCCCGTCATGTTTCAAGTTCATATATGTTTGAGCCCCCTCCTTTTGTATATCTTTAATTCTAAATGAGGGCAAGTAAAAGACTCATACAGAGTGAATGCCATATACCGACGGACCGTTTTTTAGATGATTCAGATGAAATGTTTAGCTGAATTCAAAGTCGATAAATGTTTGTTTTGGTGACTGAGTTAATTTTCATATGCCAACCACGTTTTAAGACATAATTCGCAATACGTGACAAATGCAATTTGATTTGACCGCTTTAAACGTGACATACGTGACAAACGTGACATGTTAGTCCGCGTAAATTTAGCGTTTATAACAACTAAAGATACTGCGCAAACAAGTAAATAATTATAAACTTTGTCCTTTGAATGTGAAGCAGCATATGAATAGGAACAAAACTTGTAAAGTAAACTATAGTTTATTTAAAGTATAAATATTTTCATAATGACATCGTAACAAAATAACGTTTAAACGTTATTTGTTTTTATTTGTTGTTGTTATTATTTGGCATAAACATCCTCTACAATCGGGTATTTTATTTGTTTATTTGTTTATTTATGTATTTATTTAGAACTTCGCTTTTGTATCACCGGCACACTCACAGGTAGTCTTTACAATAAAATAAAATATAATTAAAACTGCGTCTTTTGGATCTAGAATGAAGTTGCACTAAATATTCACTGTTTGAAATAGGTTTGCACATACGACTAAAAACACTAAATAAGTATCTAGTATACATTTTTAGTAAAAACATCTTAGATGCTATGTCATAAATATTGAACCTAAACATTATTGTACCACTTTTGCACGTTTTAACCAGTTTTCCTAATAGTTTTCATAGGCATATATTTTTTAATCATATCAAGTCTGATTTCATGATGAGATGAGGTGAGGGAGGGTTGGTGGGTAGATAACCATCCATCACATCATGATCCTCTTACTTTATGTTAACACAAACACATTGTTCTATGCCTGATGTTTCAACAATTATCATTGCTGATTGGTCGAACTATGGCTATAATTATCCCCTCTTATGCCTAGGTCACATTTGCTCCGATTCATCAGCCGGCGCCTGGCCGATTGAGTATCTTGTTCAAAATTGAAGGTCAAATCAAATTTGAGGTCAGATGTGAACTCCCGAGAGTTTTTACATGATTTAAAAAAAAGTTTGGTCAATTTGAAGTAAGATGAGATAAGTTTTGAACAAAATACTGCAATGGGCCGGGCGCCGGCCGATAAATCTTTGAATCTGAACTTTGTCAAACTAAGACGTACATATACTATTGAGAAAAAACTGCTTAGATCGGGAAATATCGCAAATTAAAAATGAGTCATGGATCTTGTTCTTAAAAAATCAAAAATAGTCAATGGTATTTCTATTCTCTGTGCATTCACTTTCAGATCAACTAGAGTTATAATTAAACGTTACCCTTTTGGAATATATCCTACTACTGCTACGCCGTAGCGATGGTTCAGTTTTGCAAAATATGACACGACCGTTGCACCAATCACCTAAAAGAGAGATAATGACGTCAGAATGCAATAAACCAATCTGGTGATTCGTGCCATTGGTAATGATGTAATGTCTATATAGTTCAATAACTAGATAACAGATATAGCATTAAAGAATAACTAATTCTTAAAAGTTTCTTTCAATTTTGCATACAGACATGAGACTTCAAAGTATGTTGATATCGTCAGTCAATCACATGCCCTTGTTTCTTTGATTCACCAAATTAGCGGACAAGATTTGTTTGAAAGGTGTATATGATACAATTGGATTCGACTATACCCGACCGTACTGAACTGACAAAAATCGCTAAAAATAAACGGGGTTAAAAATGATATCCAATGGGGGCATATTCGGGGTTTCCGAACGTTTTGAGTTAATTGTACCTCACTTACCACAAACAGTTCTATTGGAATCGGAATCCTCATCTTTGACTTGAATCGTTGATTGATACAGTCTTTAACTAACAGGAGAACTATAATACATATAGCACTGGTGATGAGCGTAGCGACATTAGTATTCACTATATTCAGCACTATATCTCGGTATGTCTGCAACACATTGAATGTAACTTAATAGCCTGGGTTGAATTTTAATGGTGAAATATTATAAAGCTTATTCATTGGCTTGTACATGAATAAAGGTGTTAATCTCGCCGTAAACACCTCCATTCATTTCATACAATTGTCTAGCGTGACATAAATCAGCATAATAGTATTTTATGATGTAATAAAAACTTAACAAAGTCACACTAGTTTAGCTGTATTTTGCCTTAGACGTCCACCAACGCGAATATCATCTCTGACCTCCCGAACTACATTCCTTTCATTCAAACCACGATTCTCACATCGCGAACGGGGAATCTTTAATCGCGAACCAGCATTTCCTCTCTCCCGAACATATTTCTTCACTCGCGCAAAGAGATCCTTGCTCGCGAACAGTTTGTAAAGAGTGCATCCGGGTATTTGGGATTTTTAGTTATGCGTAATAATGCAAACAACATTACGGACTTTTTTCGACCAGGTGTGTGGTTCGCGAGCACGAATCTCTGTGCACGAGTGGAGAAATATGTTGGGGAGCGAAGAAATGGTGGGGCGCGACTAAAGATTTCAGTTCTCGGTATGAGAATCGTGGTTCGAGTGCAAGGAACGTAGTTTGCGAGGTCAGAACTGATGTTCGCGTTGGTGGAAGTCTAAAGCCCGGTATACACCAATGGAGCAAGTTGGGACCTCCATAGACTTAACATTGCGTGGGACCTCGTGGGACCTTTTGGGATTTTGCCCCATGAAGTCCGTGGGACTCCATGGGACTCCGTGGGATTTTGCCCCATCTTGCCCCATCGAGTCCCACGAGGTCCCATGAGGTCCCATGAAGTCCCACGTGGGACTCGGTGGGACTCGATGGGGCAAGATGGGGCAAAATCCCACGAAGTCCCATAGAGTCCCATCGAGAATGAACATGTTCATTCTTTGCATGGGGCATCGTGGGATTTTCGATCATATGACGTGTTGTGTGAAGCCCGACATACACCAATGGGGCACGGTGGGATTTGATGGGACTCCATGGGGCGTGATGGGACTCAATGGGGCACGATGGGGCAAAGTCATCAAGGTCCCATGGGACTTCGTGGGATTCGATGGGGCAAATTGGGATTCGATGGGGCAAGATGGGACTCGATGGGGCAAGTGGGATTTTGCCCCATTGGTGTATACCGGGCTTAAGAGGCCTGTGTATTATACACTGTTGCTCATAAATATGGAATATTTTGTAGATACGAACTGTTCGATGGAATTTCTACAAAATTATAACATTTTGAAGAAAAATTGTAATGTGTTCTCATTCCCTCATCAGTTTTGCATATAAAACTGATTGGTATGAAAAGTTAAAATATTTATGGTTGATTAAACTTGTACTCACTTAGGTGACCCCATGAACTCATGATATTGGTAACTTGAAAGAGGAGTCCAAATTTTAGTTGTAATCATTGTGCACATTTAAAAAAAATTAATTTAGAGTTGGAAGAGTTTTTAGAAGGCATGCCCCATAGAATAAGTGAAAAAAGAGCATGGCAGGTCATAGGGATGGTGCTCTCTGGCATGAAACAAACTGCCATTGCCAGGGCCCTAGGGGTGTGTCAGGAACAGGCTCTAAAATTTTGCAGTGGTACCAAAGGCACTGAACATGACTCCAGGTCACAGCAATAGTAGCCCTAGAGAAAAAAATGTAAGATAAGACCACCACCTGCTGCATTTATGTCATCAAAATCGCTTTAGGTCAACCAGAAGTCTATGAGATGAATGACTGTCTCACCTCAAAACTCGTGTTCCAGAGCTATAGACAACCAGTGATTTCTTTATAACGGATGTAAAGCCATGAGACCTTTGAAGAGACCACAGCTGACTGATCATAACAAAGAAAGGTGTCTTCAATGGGCAGGAAAGCACCAAAACGTTGGACCTAATCTTTGGTGTCACATGACAGCATGTGAAGAAATAAGATGTGTCCTCCACAAAGTTGATAATTGTGTTCGTTTCTGTCGTAGACCAGGGGAAAGACACAATAAGGACACTTACTGATGTGGCAGTCCATGAAAGCGACCCTATTTATGTTTGGAGCAGTATTACAGAGGTTGTTTGGAGCAGTACAACAGAAATTGCACCCCCTTGGTGATTCCCAAACATAATTTCAGAGTAAATTGACCTTTTGGACCTCCATCAAGTACCACGTGTAAACAGAGTGTTTTGGGGCAACATTCAAATGCAGAATGATCATGCTGTTGCATATGTTAGTGGCATCGTGTTGGATAACATCAAGGCAGGCAATGTGGACCAGCTACCATGGGCACAAAAGTCAGCCAATTAGGCTAATGCAGAGCAAATGTGGGACGACTTTGGTAATGAGATTCGTGACTTGGACCCCCACCTCAAACATTAGACACGTTACGCACTGCCCATGTTGAGGAATGGAGTCTTATTTCACTTTGAAAGGTCAGATGTTTCATTCAATGCTGGTCCCGTAGGGTTGATGCTCTGATTGCAGCATAAAGAGAACATAACACATATTATTGTTATCATTGGATAGAAGACACTTCAATTTTCATGACCAGATGTTTATTTTGTTTGATCTGTTTTACATGACGATTTGGATCGGGGTGTTTTGAAAATGCAATAATTCTTAGCGTACCCCTGTTTAAGTAACAGTAATTTTCTAAACTTAAATGTTAATATTTTTTCTCCAAAAAATGTTGATTTGTAGGTGAAATATGTGGTTATGATTTGCCTTGAAAATAAATGTCTGAGCCAACTCCAAATAAATGTTCTCTTACTCCAAACTTTGAATTCTGAGCTGCCAAATCTAATATTCCATATTTATGAGCAACAGTGTATACTTAGAGGTTATGTCACTATGACGTGAAATATGCCTGAGTTCTCCCAATATAGACCGACCTTGGGAGGCTCTATATTTGGGCAAGAACGAAGGCATATTTCACGTCATAGTGACATAACTGATGTATTACATGCCTTTGTTCCCATGGTTACTTTGTATCAATGACGTGACGTCATGATATTATCATGGTTATTAAAGAAATCTAATATCAAAACGAGGTAAGCGGGCTATATCGGGGTAATCGGGCAATATAGGTGGATATAGCTCGCTAACTTTCCCATTGACTTCCATACAAATGCTTCGCTAGGTATGTAATACATACGTATATGAGCTTCCATGGGCCAGAGTATCTTCCAATCTTGATACCAAAAATGTCCTTCACTTGACTCGTGAATACGTGAAACCCCGCGGCAGTGGTGAATCCACTGAGAACAGCATCTGACAGATAGGCCGTAACAAACCCAAGGTGGAATAATCCCATTGCCAACTAAAATCAAAATCCAATTTAATGAGAAGTAACCATGAATAAGATAAATCTTAAGTGTTCGGAACTTCATAAAGCCTTATGAGTGTTTATTGAAAGACTGTAGCCCGGGATGATTTAGAAGCATCGGGATGTTAGCATTGGCTACAATGGATCGAATTGGCTACAATGAATTGAATATGTACATTGGCTACAAAGCATGTAAAAGCGAGAAGATTTGAAGGATATTGGCTCTATGTTTCAATTTCATCCTTATCCGGGTACCGAATAGATTCACGAAGTATTCGTGCATTTTATTGTGCTTAGATTTCAGTGTTGCTCCTCATTTACAAAATACATTGCTGATTAATGTGTTATAATCGCAAAAAAGGTGACTTCCGGTTGCCATTTTGAATGGGAGTGTATACCTGAATCAAGCCAGTCAGGAGGGCTAATCCAACAGCAAGGGAAATTTGTAGCGTTTCCTCGTCAGACCAATCTACATATGAAGATATGTTACCGGTTGTTTCGTTCGGTGCAACAGTTGGCCCCAAATGTCTTGAGACCCCTCGAGTTACGACATTTCCTACAAGCAGCGATGTAATGGCCGTCGTACCTGCAAGAAATTAAGGAGAAAAATTAACAAAGTAGAAGTCATGACAAAATGTCACCACATGTTTGTAAAATAATATAGGAGTGTAAAAAACTTTTACAGACGCCGAACGCTAAACACCGGGCACAAAAAACGGTGGCTACAGTATAATATGCAATTCTTTGTAGACAACGGAACTGATGGAACGATGGGTGATAACCGCAATATTTTGAAAGTACATGTACCCATTAGTAGACACTCGATGAAAAAATAGACAAATACACGCACAACAAAATAGTGTAAATGATAAATATTATACTAATGCAAATTAGAATAATCTTAATCACGATATCTTTGATCATCTACACTACCCTCAAAAAGCTTAGTAACATTAAATCCCAATGAGCTAGAGAACATGTTAGATACTAAGCCCATATTGACGATATAAAAATATAACCAAACTCATGAAATCAGATCAAATAACTAATGAAATTTAGAAAGTCTCCGAGCATAAAGAGACTTTAGCATTGTCCAGTTATTGATTTCCTGTACATGTTGTCAACGTTTTCGAGGGAAGTCTAAGATAAAAAAAAGGTAAGAATATATGTACATACCAAGAGAAATATGTCTTGATGTCCCTAGGAAGAAGTAAACGATTGGAGTAAAGAATGAGACGTACAAACCAACAACGGGCGGGAGAGACGCCAGACTCGCAAAAGCCATACCTAAAATAACATGTTGAAAACAATTATAAATTGATAGATGTGCATGCATAAAGCTTCAAAGAGGGGGACGACTTTTTAAATTTAGAGGGGAGGGGCAAAATATAAAGAAACAAAAAATTCTGACTTTTATTAAAATTATTAAAAAGAAGGAACTGCTCACAAATGCCCAAAAGTTTCACAAATAAAGTTATACAAGTCATGTTAAAGGAGCAACAAGGCTTGTAGAGAAAAAATAGGAAAATTTTAACTTTTTCTGAGCTCTCAAGGCAACATTTGGCTTAAAATCTTCCTTGCCATACCTATTTTCTTAAAATGTATGGATAAACTATCGATTTCAGCATCAAGAAGTGTCAATTCAGTTCAAAGCTTCAAAAAGGGGAAGTCCACTTTTATATTTTTAAGATCAACCAATGTTGCAAGAGGAATATGAGCTGAAATAATGTTTATCTAGGGGGTTTCATGCATACATACATTGTAGATAATAAAAATAGATGTAAGTCTTGATGAAATATCCAAACTTAAATATAATTTGACACTGGTCAATGATCGTTGAATGGCCCCTTTGCACTTCTTACTGTATAAGTGGTATTTAATCCGAGTGGTTAATTTTCCGAATGGTCAAATTTCATCATTTTCCTAATTTTAATTTTCCTAATGACAAGAAACCTCCCACTGGATAACATTATAAAGACAATATTTCCGACATTAATTTTCCGAACCTGGCAAAAATTAGGAAATAGGCAAATTAAATGATTAGGCAAAATTACCACTTATACAGTATTGTTGTACATTAAAGCTGGTTCTGACTGCCTGTTCGAGTTAATTAATTGCAAAGTTTGCATTTTTGTAAAATTCGTACAATTCTTAGAAAAAATGGCTATTTGTGAAACTGTGCAATTTTGAGATCAATGCAAAAGAGGTGCCACAATATTACGAATCTAGCCAAAAGACTGAATTTTACTCAAATGAATTTCAAAAAATGTACATCCAATCAAAACATTCAAGGCATCATGGTAATCGTACTTATGACGTGCACGGACCTGGGGACAATTCGGGAAATACGGGCTAATCTCAGCTCCAAGCGTTAATATCTGCCTTATTTAAAAAGCTAACTATGTGCATTATATATCAATTTGAAGTATTTTTTATTCGCATTTCACTGAAATCATTTTTCCTTGAAAAGTTTGATGAGATCTACCATATTTTTAAAGTTAAATGTACTCCGACATCGTCAAATACGCTGTAAGACGTAACATTCCATGCTTACACGGTTCGTTGAATTTGGAATAACTTTTGAAATACTGATCAGAATTTTACTAAAATTTCACATTTTATTCATTGAAACATGTGCTTTTATGACGTCACAATTGCCTAGCGGCTACAGTTCAAATCGTCTTATATGAACGCTTTTAAAGCTTTCAAAATTGTGTAAGGTTTTGAAGGCGAAGGAGACAAGCAATAAGTTTACCTTTATTTAACCTTCTTATTTAGGTCTGATTTCAAAAAAAATTTAACTGCACAATATTGTCATGGGGAAATTTACAAAACAATAACCGATTTCTTTATTCTTCAAATAATAAGAAAATAAGAGTTGTTTTTAGAGACTTGAAAAAATGTAACGCATCGATTTTTTACCACAAATCTCATACATATCAATTTTTGCTAACGCCCCGATTGGATTTCCTGACCGTTTTTCAAAAATCAAAAACATTTTAGAAATATTGTCCTCGAGATCTTGTTGCTCTGTGAATTTTACCAGGATTGAATAAGAAGAAAGCATCTTATTTCTAGGTTGACTAAAATTGACAAAATGTAACGCTTGTCGTTTTTGACGTTATAATGCTGATTGCGCCCTATACTGCCCATTGTATTGTTTGGTATTTTGACGCCATAATGTTACTCTAATTGTCCCCAGTTTCGTGCGACGTGTAACTACCTTACAGAATTCAAAGTCGAATGTGATCTCATAGCAAACCGCTTGAAATTATCCGATTAATTTCTTTCCAAGAAACAGTTATTGACATTCAATTAAGATCAATCGATTCTCAAAAGAAAATATTTTCATTGGGGGATAGGGTTGTAGTAAATATGTGACAATGGATAAGGATAAGCAGCAACTCCCAGATCCTCTTTAAGTTATTGGCATGGGCACTGTGCATGATATATACATAATTATAATCAATTTGACATGTACGAGTATGTATTGTATAAAACATGATCTCGGACCTTTTAAAGTAGTTGTAAATTGTGAAATCTGACAATCTCGAACTAGAACCTTTCCACTTGACATGAAGTCATAAAGATAATTCAGGTCAATTGATATTTCTAACATACGTTCATTGTTGCAACATCCATATAAACCGAAGAGGGCAATGTACACCCTCCTGCACAAGTTTGTCCACCCATACAATGTATAAGATAGCGTTTAACATTTTTTGTACTTGAAATTGAATATCCCCGTATATATCAAAAGAACGATGCCGGTGATGATTTTTGAAAATCGTTAGATATACTCAAAGATGTACGCATTGCTCTTAATTAAAGATAAATATGAATGACATTGTATAAATTTTAAAGACGTATTAAAAACTTTGAAAACACTTGGTATATATAATTAAACCAAAAAAACACTATTTGTTGGCCTATGCAAAGCAACAACTTTTGCGTCGTTAATCTAAAACTACCCTTTACTCTGTAATTTGCCTTTCTTGCATTTGCTTGTACATAAAAAAGAGAAAAAAGAAAAAAATCATCTGTGAGGGTTACCATACTTTTGGAGAGAAGTGTACATACAATCGTGCGACTTTGCCCAATATCTTAGATGGATTGCTTATGTAACCATGTTTTGTTTTCGATTGATTTGTTTTCAAATACATACCGAAACTAGTGGATTGAGCACTTCAAAATAATTATTGATCTTTTTAACCGTAAATAAGATGAGTAGGCGAATTGAGTAGGATGAGTGAGTAAATTAAGTAAGATGAATAAGCAAATTAAGTACGATGAATAAGCAAATTAAGTAAGATGAGTAAGCAAATTAAGTAACAACGATTGGAACTAACTAACTGGAACAAAATCCCCAGACCATACCTTGCGGAATGTGCATAATGCCATTTGTAAGGCCGCCTAAAATATCCAAAAGCAAATCTGTCTTCAAGTTATATTCTCGCAGAATTCCAATAAATGGCAATTTCTCCAAAATGTTTCCTTTCCAGCATGGTCGACTGCAAGAAATTCTCTTGGTGAGTTCACCACAGACATTTTCACCGTTTTCTCTTTTACGGCAGGCACATAACCCAAGTGTCTGCTTTTTAAAATCTTCCGGATAAAATCCCTTATTAATCTCCGACATTTTTTCTTGTATGCGTTTTTGTTGTACTCAATTTCAAATTGTGCTTCAAGGAGAATATAGTTGATGATTTACTATACATTGGGTGCTCGAATAACACTGAAATAAATATACAAACAAATTAAACAAAGTCAAGTTCATCTTAAGCAGCCTAAGGTCGTATCATTTCAAACATATAAATTGAGGATATTTTTTGTCTTTATTTTTATCACGTTACGTTTATTATTTTGTTAATTTTTATCACGTTCGTGATATATTTTGTTCATATACTGCCCGGTCTAACTTTGCTGAAGATAACAATTATAAATAAATACAATACAATACATACCATGCATGTTATCTTTCAGAGTCAAGAAGCACATGTCTGAACTCAAGACTTTTGCAACTATTACACATGTCATTATGCTCTGAACTACATTTAACCCTAATGTGTAAAACGTATTTTTCATAACACTTATGGACAGGGGGGTTGGGGCAGATGACCCCTTCTGGCGTTTTAAAAGTTGAAGAGGTACAGTAAAAAGTAAGGTACCATATTGAAGGTCATTCAGAACTCTTGAGGGAGGTGTATTAAAATCTCAAAAAGTAGGGCAAATGGGGTCAAAAGTAGGTCAAAGTAACAGAGGGATCAGCTTTTTTCGCGTATTTTAGTGATAGATGTATAGTAAGATAATAAGTTTTTACATGCATTAGTATTTTTCTTATAAGCAATTATTATAGTACCCCTAAGATTTTTAGGGGTAGGGGTATAAAATCGCCTTAGACCCATTTGCAGCCACTGTGACATCGGCCCCTATTTAGAATTTAGTCGAGAACTATCTATACTAAGAGCATGCTTAATATTTTGCCTTTTTGACAACCCGAAGTTTTGAGCCCATATTTGATGGAACGCTGCTGCGCTACAAAACCTGGTCATTCATGAAGCTTTGAGAAAAAGTGGTTTTGATTTTCACCAAAAATGTTATGATAGCCAGCAATAATGTCTAAGAAGATTAAGGCATGCACATATCTCTTATAAACTATCACACATGCCCTCTGTATATATAAACGTTCTAATGCCTCTTTTACATTCAAATAGATAGTACTATGCAGTGAAGTCTGGAGTGAAGTCACACAAATATTTGCTCTTGAAATATTGGAAATATCAGTAGATTCTCAAAAGTTATAAACAATCAAAGGACACAGAGAGGGGTATGAATATACCAGGAACAAAGTGGTAATATCGGCTTTTATTGAGGAGTTATCTCTAAAGAGATTTTGAAGGAACTTTTCATCAACTTTTTGTAACATTTAAACAAAGAAAGGTTAAGAACTGGGTACAGTATTGAACTTGAAATATCCACAGGTAAAACTAATTGGCTAATTGGCTGGTTAGTAGACTTAACTGTTAATTACAACACCAGTGTAGAGCTACAATCCAATAACTTCACTCCCTTGATTGGGGTTAACAACATATTTTGGACTAGTGTGTACCTTCCAACTGACCTGTGACATTATGGCTGTAGCTAACCTTGGGACTATAAGCCAACTTATACCATCTGAAAGTGACACATGTTTCAGCGATAGCGACTTTAACTCCTCAATTAATGAACTCTCTCAAGGCTCATCCCCACTTCCACTCTACAGACACTGTCCATCTTAGCGCCTAATGCAGTAGCGAACCCTGGCCTACTTAATAATGACACTATTCCTAAAGTGATAGCCAGAACTAAAAAACCCACACACCCCGTCTTCGTCGCACAACCCGTCATTCTGCGGCTAGCACTCTCCCTACTAGAAAGCCAAAAAACCTGCAAGCAAAGCTAAAAGGCCATCTATCTCTAGACCAAAAGGGAGACCCCGCAAGGCTCTATCCCAACCAGACCCCAAACGAAGTGTAAAACAAAAACCTATAACTAATACTAACAGTGATGACGATACTGTGGTCTCACTCCTTGGATCCCTTAAAGCATCTCTAGACACTACTAATGCTATGTAAGGGGCCCTTCAAACAACCAACGCTGATTTGGTCAGTCAATTAGCGGCAAAGACTGTCACATGCCAAGCATAAGACGCAGAGTGTCAATCCCTAAGGAAACAGCTCAATAATAGAGGGCCTCCTTCAGATACCACATCTAATAAGACTCTTCTGGTGGGGCCTTCACTCCTAAGGGACATAGATGAAACCTGCCTAGACACCAAACATGTTGATATTAATGCATTAGTGGTGGTACCATCTCAGATGGCCAGAAAGCCCTCATGAATAATGAATCCTATGATAAAGTTATATTGCAAATTGGAAGCAATGACTGTGCTAAAGGTGACCCAGCTAAAAACATCATGGACGATAACAAACTTCTAAAGATGTTTCCATCTCAAGTATCTGCCCCCGTACAGACAATAAAGAAGCCCATGAAAAGGCCCAGGCAGTAAACGCCGAACTACAAGTTTTGTGTGAACATACTGACAATACATCCTTCATTAACAATGACAATACTTTCATTCTGCAAGGCGGTACTATCAACGATGACTTCTTGAATAGGGATGGTCTCCATCTCAACCCAGCTGGCACTTATCGTCTGGTGCACAATATGGGACTTACAAAATCGCTTAAGAGTGTCACAAAGCCCTTCAATCAATATAAGAAATCAAAAATCCCTAATCCCACTCCCAGACCTAATAACAATTTCAATTCCAACAGCAGTAAGCCAACATCATATGCCAATGCAGTAAAGTCCCCTAGACCAAACCTTAAGCCAGTTTGCTTCAAATGCGGGGAAGCTTCTCATTTAGCCAGTACATGCTGGCACCCCAGCCCTGTCAGGTGTTATTTTTGTAAAAATTTGGGCCACAAGACAGCAAAGTGCCCCAACAAGGACCATCAACCTGTTGAAACATCCAATAGATATTAGGTCCTTGGTGAGGTCAGCGCCTTACCCCTGAATACAATTCTAAATGACATCATCCCCAATACCCCCAGCCAGGTAGAACTAAGTCTAAACACCGTAGATCTAGAAAACATAAGGTTAAACCAGCTAAACCCTTCAGGATAATGTATAACAATGTCCAAAGATTAGGAATATCGAAACAAAATCTGCTTAAAGATCTATTGGAAATTGAAACATATGATGTATGTGCTATAACCGAATCAGGCTTTACTGATACCAACCAGATTACAGTGTTTAGCAATAGTCATACATGGCTAGGAAAAAACAGACACTCGAAAAAAGGTGGATGAATAGTTTTTTTTGTACATAACGATACTGATATTATTGACGATAACTTACTATCTTCTAAAGATGACTTATTTGAACGTTACTGGATTAAAATCAAAACCGGTAAATCATATTTAAATATATGCATTGTCTATTTCCCAAATGATGGAAGAAACATGATAGAATGCTCAGACTTGACTGATGAATTGGTACGCAATATAGCTTCCCTTGATCCAAATGAAAAAAATTTGATTTTTGGGGATTTTAATGGGAAAATAACCCAATTTAGAAAGAAGAGTTCAAAAAGTTGCAAATGAAAATGTCCTACCCTGTTTCAAATCTATGTTAATTGACGAAGATGACAATATATCTCTTGGTAGTGACCATGCAGTCTTTATTTTAGAATTTTTGTTTCAAAACGACAGGGTAGTTTATTCCCGTAATGATCAGAATAATAACAATGTAAAAATACAGTGTCCTAAATGGAATATCCCAGATTCTACAAACTGGTCAGCTTTTGAAAGTAAACTATGGGCATCTTTAAAGTGTTGGGACCCGGAAACATTGGCAGATCCAAATGATATCTGGGAAAGTTGGAAATCAAAAGTCCTAAATGTTGGGATGGAAGTTGTTGGGGAAAAATCATGTAACCCAAAGAAAAGGTCATTCTGGGATGAGGAACTGAAAAGACTCCTGAAAAATAGAAAAGATGCCTGTAGATTACACAGATATCTCTATAAATTTGATCCAGATCCAGATACACTAAAGGATATTTGGGATGTTTACCTGGAACGAAAGAGAAAGATGTCAGATTACATTAAAGAACGTCACATTAATAATCATCTCAATACCCTAATTAAAAACTCATTTAAGAAGTCAACTAGTTCGAGATCCTTTTGGAAGACACTCAAAATGTTTAATGCAAAAAGTAAATACCCCATTGAAATAACTGACCCTAATAATCCTGATAGAACAGTTAGTGACCCGAAAGAAATATCTCGTTTGCTTAAAGAATATTGGCAAAAGGTTTGAAAGGTTAATAGAAACAATGAAAATTCTAAACCACCTTTGAACGATTTATTATCTAAATATGAAAATGAGACCAATTTTGGTAATGGAACGTTATCCCATATAAAATTCTCATTTGATGATATTTTGACGAATATTAAATTGACTAAAAACAGAGAGACTTTTCCCAATGAATGGAGGGACGGACTTTTAAAGCCAATTCATAAAAGCAACTCTTTTAAAATTCTTGACAATTACAGAGGAGTAACTGTTACATCAAATGTATACAAACTATTTGCATCTCTTATGGAAAACTCACTTATGAACTCTTTTTTGAAAAATGAGACATTTGATGAACTCCAGGGAGCCTTTTTAAATGGGAAACGCTTGGAAGATAGCATCTTCCTACTAAAGGGCTTATGTAGTATTAGGAAAGATAAAAAACTAAAGACATTTCTGGGCTTTTTGGACATTAGGAAAGCCTTTGATGTTATTGACAGGGATCTTTTATTTTGTAAACTGTGGGAGAAAGGTATTTGTGGGAAACCATGGAGGATTTTGAAACTTTTATATTCAGGGATAAGAAATAAAGTAATTTTTGGTAATTTTGAGAGTGAGTTTTTTGAATCAAAATATGGTGTCCGACAAGTTTGTGCCCTCTCACCGACCCTTTTTCTTGTTATAATGAATGATCTTACAGAAAGACTCAAATATGAAAATTTAGGCATCCCTTTGGTTGGACAAAGAATCCTTGCCCTTTTATATGCTGATGACATAGTACTTTTAGCTGAATAAGAACATCAGTTATCCAAAATGTTAAATGTTGCTAATGAATTCTCTTTATACTGGGGGTTTCAGTTTGACACGAAAAAGTCCAGAATAATGCCAGTAGGTCGAAAAATCAATCCCAATGCATCATGGAAACTAGGTCATTTGAATCTCACTGAAACTAAAA